TCATGGTGATTGAGTCCCTCAACTTGTTTCCGACTAGAAGACCTCTTTTGTACTGCGCGATGGCAAGATTTGTGGAGCAATCTCCTATTTGGTTGAAGGTCTCCCAATAACGACTATTGTAGGATCTCAACGTCTCCTTGTCGCCCATGTCAATGGAGAGTAGCTGATCAATCTTTACTGGTGTCTTGGCGTTTGTTCTGAACCTTGTCACGAACGCCTCCGCTAATTGCGCCCAGGAGGCTATGCTGCCTTCTGGTAGCCTTTCGAACCAGGTCAAACCTAGGTCGCCAAGGCTGGATGGGAATAGGATGCACATCAAAGCCTCGTTCCGCCGGTATACTATCATGACCTGGCGAAAGTGGCTTAGGTGCATGTAAGGGTTTGTCTTCCCCTCGTACATCGTAAATTTAGGCTGGATGAAGCCTAAAGATAATAGTGCGTTGTCAATCGCCGGAACGAACGACGAGCTATGTAGCCTTGCCAATGCTTTATCTGTTGGTTTGTAGGCAAGGTGTGGTATTGGCATTCCTACCTCGACGCTTCCATGCGTCCGAGGAGCCAACCGCTGAAGGGCTGAAACTCTGTGCAGGTCGCGTGCCCTAGCATCCTCCTTCTGTCGTGCCCTTTCTTCCAGCACAGTCCGTAAGTCAGACAATCTAGGCAACTCCGTTTTCCTGGATGATGTCTGGTGCGTATGTGAGGACCGATAGGTGCTTTCCTCAGTGTAAGACCTCAATGATCTCATTCTCTCAAACCTGAAGTAACGAGTTCTGGAGGTCCTTGATTGAGTGTCGCCTGTTCTGAGGCTCCTACTCTCTGCTTGCGATGGAGTGGTATGCCTACCACGATCTTCTGAGTGGCGAGGGGGCGTGTTGCTTTTATGCCCCTCTCCTATCGCCACTCCCTTCCCTTTTATCTGGCGCTTCATCAATTCCATGTCTGCCGCCATCTTCCTAATTAACTCCTCATGTTCCTTTACTCGATCCTCCAAAACTTGAGGGTCGATCCTCTGCCTCTGCCTATCAAAACTTGATGAGCGACGGGGGCTGTTACCCCACCTCCCCCTTGCATCCCTCCGAGGGTTCTGTCGCTGGGGCTCTAAATCTGCCATGGGAGGGATGGAAGGCAAACCTTCGCGCCTCCCACCTCCCTCTGGGGTTTGTCCATCAATGGCGGACTGCGACAAATCTTCATTGTGTGCCATTGCGTCTAATCTAGAGAGGAAAACTTTGATCAAGAGGTTTTGTTCTTTGTGTGATTCCCACAGACGGTGCCAATTGTATGAGCAAGAAATAATCTTCTCGTATAATCCTGTTGATCAAGTCTGCTCTCCTCTAAACGTTGTCGCTTTACTCCCTGAAAACACAAATGTGAGCTAGCCGGCGGGTGTGTGCCGGATACCTCTCCGATGCCTAAGTCAGCAAAATAGACAAATAGACAAAAGCTCTGTGTATTCGGGAATCAAAGTTGTGTTACCTCTCCATAGGTGATGTTATGAGCTTTTATAGGTTCCGTGTGGCACAATTCTAGTAAGACTCTTATTCCTTCATGCAGAGTCCTCCTAGGAATCACACTCCTGAAAGATAATGCTTATCCTTCAACACCCCCCTCACTGCTTAAACCAAGTGAGATGGTTTTACCTCGGTGGTATGACAAAACGACCGAGCTATCACAGCCATGCTATACTGGCTGAAATGACCGAGCTTTACCTAGCTCGGTTCTCCCCTTCACTGCGTGTACATTGGCTTCTCCTGCTGAGACCGTGCTAACCATAATGAGATTGGACCGAGCTAAACCGTAGCAAGGTCCTGAGAAAAGTTCAAAATACTTCGGCTCAGAAGGGTATGGCCGAGCTAACTGCCATCACTCTAACAGCGGTGACCGAGCTAAATACAAGGCTCTCTTGGACCGAGCTAACTACAAGGCTCTTTTGGATCGGGCTAATTACAAAGCTCTTTTACTCTACCTTTTTTACTATGGCCCACAGAACGACCCATCACCCAGCTCGGCCCAATTTACATATAAATTACCCTCTCACTATCTATCTATTTATTATATAAGGAAAAAAAAGTTTCTAACTCACATGCCGTGTGGGAGTTCCAATATTCCAATCTTAATTTTCTAAATTTTTGATTTAAAAAAAAAAACCTTAGCATTTATTGACTTCTCCCAAGCCACAAGCCTTTTTGACTTCTCTCATACCTACTCCTTCACCCTTTTCAACTTCTCTCATATATTATAGTTATTGATGGGATTGTTAAATTATTTTTATAAAAAAATTAAAAAAAAATAATTTGTATATTAAAAAAATATCTAAAACGAATATAAATTCTTGTTAAATCTATCTATCTATCTATATCTATACTATATATTGAGCAAAATGGGGTTTTTAACCCCCCCAAGGCCTGTGGGAGCTTCAATATCCCAATCTGAATTTTCTAAATTTTTTATTAAAAAAAAAAACTCAGCATTTATTGATTTGGTCAAAATCTCCTGATCAGCATTTATTAACTTTTTTCAATCCACATGTCTTTCCACATGCTTGCATTTATTGATTTGGTCAAAATCTCCTGATCAGTATTTGAAATCCCCTCATACAAATAATTATAGATACAATCTGTGTATAGTTACTGCGGTACCCTTTTCAACTTCTCTTATACATTATGGTTAGTGATAAGATTGTTAAATTATTTTTATAAAAAATCTTAAAAAACATAATTTATATATTAAAAAAAATCTAAAACAAATATAAATATTTATAATTATCACGTGCATAGCACGGGTGATAGGCTAGTATATTATATAAGTAAAAATGGGGTTTCTAACCACAAGTCTTGTGGGAGTTTCAATATCTCAAACTAAAATTTCTAATTTTTTGATTTCAAATAATTAAAAAAATCTTCTATAGCTTTCATTCAAGCAAAATTACACCCTTTTCAACTTCTCCCATACACTATGGTTATTAATGGGATTGTTAAATTATTTTTATAAACCAATCTTAATTTTCTAAATTTTTTATTTAAAAAAAAAAAACCTCAACATTTGTTGACTTCTCCCAACCCACAAACATTTTTGACTTCTTTCATACCTACGCCTACACCCTTTTTAATTTCTCTCATACGCTATGGTTATTGATGGGATTGTTAAATTATTTTTATATTTAAAAAAATACCCAAACTTTTCAAATACCCAAACTTTTCATATTTTAGTTAGTTTTTTATTTTTTAGATGTACAACAAATACCCAAACTTTTCGAATTCAACAACCGACTCATTTTCTCCTTCTTGATTTCTCACTTCCACACTTTCTTCTACACTTTCAACTTCAGTGACCACGTATGCTTTTTTGTTTTCTCCTTCTTGACTTCTCACTTCCATACTTTCTTCTACACTTTCAACTTCAGTGACCACGTATGCAAACAGTGAGTCTCCTTTTTGTTTTCTCCTTCTTGACTTCTCCTTTTGTTTACTGTTTTAATATTGTAGTTATATAGCGCATAAAAATATTTGTGATTTGTCTAGCGAAAAAAATTATAATTTGATTTTTTAATATGATTGAAATTAGATAAATATAAACCCTCACAAAGAGAAAAATGTGATTATAATTAGTTTAATGGTTCTTTTTTTAATGTGATTGTAGTTAGTTCAATAGTTTTTTTTTCATTTATTTATTTTATTATGGGGAAAATGTGATATGATTGTAGTTTGTTCAATGGTTTTTTTTTTTAATGTGATTGTTGTAGTTAATTCAATAATTTTTTTTAATGTGATTTAATCTTTTTATTTACTGTTTTAATTTTATTTTTTAATATGCTTGAAATTAGATAAACATAAACACTCACAAAGAAAAAAATGTGATTGTAATTAGTTCAATGGTTCTTTTTTTTTTTTTTTAATGTGATTGTAGTTAGTCAATGGTTCTTTTTTTCATTTTTTTTATTATGAGAAAAATGTGATGTGGTTGTAGTTTGTTCAATGATTTTTTTTTTTTTAATGTGATTGCATTGTAGTTAGTTCAATTGTTCTTTTTTTTAATGTGATTTAATCTTTTTATTTACTGTTTTAATGGTTCTTCTTTACAATTATTTATAAAAAAATATGATTGTAGTTAGATTGCATAAAAATATTTGTGATTTGATTTGATTTTTTTGTGATTTGATTTTTAAAGTACCAATTATTGATAATGATTATATTGTATTTTCAAAAAAAATTGTAATTGATTTTTTTAACTCATTGTGTTTTTTGAAAAAAATTATTGTGTTTTTTTAACTATCAATTCACTTAATTTGTGATTTGATTTTTAACTCACTGTGTTTTTTGAAAAACAAAATGGATTGTATTCATTAGGGTTAATGCACCAATTATTGATGATAATGAGATTGTATTTTGAAAAAAAAAAAAAAGAGGATTGTATTCATTAGGTTCACATAAAGTACTCATTATTGATGATGATTAGATTGCATTTTGAAGAAATTTTTTTTTTTGTAATTGATCATTAAGGTTGAAAGTTGTATTTCTTTTTTCTCATTTTTTTTATTTTGTTTAAAAATATTTAATATCTCTAGATTTATGACTTTCAAATGGAAAGTATATTAAATACATAAAATAATTTTATCAAGGAGAGCAATTATAAATTTTATTTTTTTAGTTAGTTCTGTTAAATAAATTTTTTTAACAAGGGGGTATTTGTAATTTTTCAAACCACAGGGGGCAATCTGTACTTTAAACAAATCTCAGGGGGTGCATTTGTAATTTACCCTAAAATAAAATTTCAAATTTGGATTCTTACTTAAATTATGTTACTATAATTGGAATGAGACCAATATTCATTCCTTAAATTTTGCATCCTTTATTAAATTATAAAATAAAATTTCAAATTTATTTTTTTTTTTCAAATTATATTACTAAATTTTGCAATTCCAGCAAGGGGAGTTGAAAATTACATGATTAAATTTGTGACAAATTAAAAAATAATAAATAAATTGTGATAAAATTGTAGGACTTAAATTATAAATTTCAATCTTATTTGATTTCATAATTTGCATACAAAAATTTAACTATTTTTATTATTTTGTATAAAAGTATATTATTAATTTTTTACATGCCGTGCATAGCACATGTTACCACTAGTTCACATATATAGATAATTGTAAACATAATCTATGCATAGCACGAGTGATATGCTAGTTGATCAGTAATAGGAAAGGAAACTCTCTGAATTTGTGGCAAATTTTTATCAAGGTATTTTGTAGATTTAGAGAGCACTAGTCATGAATCAAGTGAAAGCTAATTTGATATACTTTTATTAAGGTATTTTATGTTGTCTATTTTTAATGTGTTCACTATTTTGCAATTTTGAATTTTTACATCAGATCTGCTGCTTTTGTTTATGTTTTGCATTGCCTTGCAAAGTAATTATGAAATATGATTTATGGTCTCCGCTTTGATTAGGTGTAGCAAATTCATTATTTGTTAAGTCTGGGCATGAGAAGCACTCATTATGCTAGTACAGAGACTTTACAAAACTTTTGGTTATTTTCCCTAACAGTCAATTTTAGGTAGCAACAACACTTGTTAACATAAAAAGTATCCCCAAAAAAGAATGTATGAACCTAATTTTAGGTAGCAACAACACTTGTTAACAGAAAAATATTACCGATGTTGTTCCAATTGACATAGGGGTGTCTTTGATGTACCAGAGGTAGGTGATGGAGAATCATTAGACGAACCAAAAGAAAACGATGTGTTCCAACAAGAAAATATTACCGATGTTGTTCCAATTGACATCGGCCCTAATGTTCAATGTTATAGAGATGGTGTTGAAGTAGAAGTTGTTACAAGGGTTAGGTCATCTTATGAAACAATGATAGAGAATAGAGTTGACAAACAAAATGAAGAGTGTGACGAACCTGATGTGGATTACGATATGGATCTTGATGTAGACTAGGATTTGTAGTTATTTTGCACTTTCTATATGAACATTGTTCTTAATTAATGTAGTTGAATTTCAGTTGTGGGGTTCATCCACTGTTATGTAGGTTTATCGTTGATTGGTCATATTATGTGTCTGATGGCTTTATAATTAATTTGTTCTATGATAAGTAAATGGTAAAAACAAAAATCATCCATCTCACTCTAGCCATATTTCAATGATTTAGAGCCTATATGACATATCCACCTGTTGAGATTGTTGTTGCTTTATGCTTTATGTATAGAAATACATAATTATCTTTTCTTTACATCTAATGTTCAATTATGCATATCCACCAAAAAAATGTTCAATTATGCTTTATAGTTGGGCAAAATGGACGCTACAAAAAAAACAGTTGACCAAATCAAGTACCACAACTAAGAAGGTAACGAACTATTAGAAACAAAGAATGAAGAATATTTAATAAAAACCGTGAGAGAATGAATGCTCTAGGAGTGAAGAATATAACAACTTGTTTGAAGGCTGCGGTTCAACATAAGAAATTGAGGAAGGAAAAACAAATACCAATTGAGGAAAATGACGATGATTATCGACCGTCAGAGGCTGAAGATTGCAGTGACACTGAATCCTATGATTCGTTTGAGCATGAGGTACTATTCATTTATGCATTGTGAAATATGTTCTTTCTTGTTACTTTCAATTCATACACACATAGACATGTATATCTTTGTACATATATTCATATTTTATTATGTTATTCAGATGTTAGAGATACCATCGAGAGCCCGTTCACAATCTCATCATGAGGCATTGGCCCACGCATTAGAAGAGGGGGATACCTCTTCTCGTCCTAAGGTGGCTAGCCATCCGCCACCACCTCTCAATGTAGAGCCTCAACTAGGTGACTGCTAGTAATACTATTGGTAAGACACACTCTTTATTTACATTGATTTGAGATCTTAATTAAATTTGTTCACATACTATTTCAATAGTATGGCTTCACAATATCAGCTGCTAAGCGTGTTCGTGGCCCGAATCGAGGCAAAGAGGCTCAAGGCCTTGTTGATAAAGGTGGAAAGCTTAGCGTGCCTATCCCTCCAGAATTTCGTGCACCGGTAGGGGACTAGGCCTCAAAACCAGCCTCAAAGATTGGTGTAGAAGTGCGAACTCGTTTACCAGATCCAAGTGTTCGTAGGTGGAAGTATGTTGATGCCTCCGTTAAGGAGGCGATGTTTCAACGCTTGAATGTAAGTTCATTGTCTACTCTATTATAGGACATTTTACTCATTTTTATAATAGGTTAGAAATTTTAATTATTTATTGTAATTATTTTATTTTTTATAAGAATTATCTATGACTTATCTATTTTTTGCAGGATCAATTTGATTTACAAGGAGACCCTGTTGATATAGAGAAGGCAATGAACACAAATTTTGGTCGGAGATTGAGTAATCATACCTATAGGCTGCACAAACAATTCATGGAGCTGAAGGAGGCCAAATGAGAGGAGTATGTAAGAAACCACCCACCAAAGAATGTTGATCCTACCAAGTGGATTAGATCTTATTGATAAAAAGTGGAACACTAAAGAATTTCTGGTAACATTTTCATCTTTTTTATTATATCAGCGAAGAAAGAATTTGATTAGAATAGAGAGAGATTCTAAAAAAATAGAAAGAACACAATCAATTTGCTGTGAAATTCCATATGTCTTCTTGTCCCTTTATCTTCTAGGCATGTAAGTGGAACATAATAAAAACCAAATAAGTGGGAAAATGAGAAAGGGAAACTATTAAACATGGATTAGAAGACTCACATAATAGGAGATTAATTTATGGTTCCTTAAAGTGCATCTTTTACGTCATAGAATAAAGAACTAAGATTTCAGTTTGTATGGTTGTATTTTCTGTTTGTTCTTGGGTTTGGTCTGAAGTTTCATGATAATGGTAAGCAACTAGCTAAGTAACTAATACAGGGTATTGAGACAGAACTTTAGATTTGATAGAGTTGTGGAAGAAAGAAAAGGTTATGAGTTTGGTATCAGTAATTGTTCCATATCTTGTGAAATGTAAACGGATATTTTCACAATGTATCTTGCTCATGCTTATATGCCCCCTATTTGTGAATGGTGTAAATTACTCGTTTTTCTTTTTTCACCCAGAAAAAACATCTTATGATGAAATCTCAACAAGTCCTCTAATCTATTTTTCAAAGAATTGAATGAAACTAGTGAATAATTTGAAATATCTTTTAAGTTGAAATGATATATAGAAAAATGATAGAGAGGAACAATGCAATTTCTTTATTATCAAGCATTAAATTTGTTTTACTAGTGATACATTTCATTGTTATAGTGGTTCATTATTCCTTACAGAAACAATCAAAAACCAACATATTTGTCTTACTAATGATACATTTCATTGTTATATTGGTCATTCTTCCTTATAGGAACAATCAAAGGCCAACATCGCGAATAGAGAAAGGATGTATACAAAACATAGGTGTGGTTCTAGGTCAATCCCTATTAGAGTAGAAAAATTGGTACGTATCCTTGCGCTTTCAGAATTATATTAGATTCTTAACTTTATCTATTGAATATTTGGCCTATTGAATTAGGCACGAGAAAAGAAGATGCTACCTAATCTAGCAGAGTTGTACAAGGAAACTCACCATAATGAGAAAACACATGAGTGGATCTCATCTCAAGCTCAGTGTAATTATGTGAGTATATATTGCAATTTTTATTAACAAAATATTAGAATACTATTTGTTATAATCTTATTTAATTTTCTAATAATTATTTAATTTTTTTTTATATTTGATAGGAAAATATGATGCAGACACAGGCTAATCACCTCTCACAGCCGGGATCAACCCCTTTGACTGCAGAAGAGTTGTCAATCAAAGTCCTAAAGCCAAGGTTTGGCTATGTGAAGGGACTTGGCATGAGACCTTCATCCTCTATTAGGAGGACCACTACCATATATGCTGAAACAAATGATTATGTGAAGCGCCTTGAGATGCAAATATAGACACAGAAGGAACAAATACAAATGCAGAACAATAAAATAGAAGATCTTGAAGAGGGTAGGAAGAAGCAAGGGAAAGATATTGGTTGATGTTGTCAACTTTTTGAAGACCAAAGGATTCATTGGACACTTTGGAAGTGGAGGGGACTCATTCACAAGTGGACATACTTCTTTGTAAAGTATATTAACTTTAATATAACAAATTTTATAAAAGAATATATGTTTGAAGAATTAGGAAGTAATGGAAACATGCATATGACATCTAATTTGAACAGGTGCACGGGATGTATAAATTGTGAATTAGTCTAAAAAATATTTTTTTTCTCTATACTTAAAGCTTCAAAAAAGGCCGTCGAAATGCTAAATTATCACACAACTACAGATTTGTACAAGAACCAATAGAAACACTTTAGGAGGGACCAATATAAGTTGTATGAACTTGCGACACATTAATGGGATACACCATTTGTGAATTAGCCTTAAAATTAATTTTTTGTTCTCATAATCTCGAAAAAAGTCTGTTAGAGGGATAAATTGTATAATTGATCTATTTGTAAATTGATGAGTTACTAATGTTTTTAATCTTTTATATAATTGATTAATTACTAAAGCTTTTAATTTATTTTTTTGTAGATTGGATTGGGGTGGCATTTTTGACGTGTAACAATGATGTAATTTGCTTGAATGTTCATTTTTGTTTGATAAGGATACACATACTTTGTGGAGTTGCACTAGTTATTGTTGGATGTTTGGTGGAATTGATGAACAAGTTATAACTTTTGGATATTTTGTGGATATCTCACTATTTTATTGTATTAGGATGAAATTATTTGTAATGATGAATGGATATTTTCATTTTGTTAATTCGTAAATGTATTGATAACAAGTTAGGTTAAGATGTGATGGAATTGTTATATTCAACAGGTTTCAACATGAATAGGGTTATATTTGTTGAACTAAAATTTAGATTTTGATAAAATAAGTATATAATGTGTAAAAAAATATTATGGAATTACTGACAAAATTTTCCATCCCTAAAGAAGGTTTTTTTGTCTCTTATTTGGCTTAGGTGGATGATTAATTTTGTCATGAATTCTTTATTTCGCCGCTAAATGAATTTGTCATGACAAAAAATATTGTCACATTTTGTCACTATTACCCTCAATGTGTGACGAATTTTTTTTGACATTATTTCATCATTTTTAATGATGAATTTGTTTTTGTCTCTATTGGTAGCTTCTTTGACAAAAAATTTTCGTCTTCGTTTATGTTAAATGTGACAAAATTATTTCGTCTCTATTTCTTATATTTATGACAAAATATTTTGTCTCTAATTTCTTCCTTTAATAACAAAATATTTTGTCGCTAATTACTTACAAGTATGTTCCTAACAGAGTGTATTGGAGACAAAAAAATTCATCACAAATTTATCATTTTTAATGATGAATTTGTTTTTGTCTCTATTGGTAGCTTCTTTGACAAAATATTTTCGTCTTCGTTTATATTAAACGTGACAAAATTATTTCGTCTCTATTTCTTATATTTATGACAAAATACTTTTGTCTCTAATTTCTCCATTAATGACAAAATATTTTGTTGCAAATTACTTACAAATATGTTCCCAACAGAGTGTATTGGAGACAAAAAAAATTCGTCACAAATTTATCATTTTCAATGACGAATTTGTTTTTTCGTATCTAAGACCCTTTAGCGACGATGCTTTGGCGACAAAATGGGTGACGAAAAATATTCATGGTAATTAGTTTGGGTGATGAAATATATACATTTTGGGACAAATTTGTTTCGTCTTTAAATCCCAAATTTGTTGTAAATTTGGTCGCTTTGCTGTTGTAAATTTTTTGAAATGCTTTTGATTTGGAAAATTCTTAACATCGAATTGGTTTATTGAAATTTGATAATTGACTAGATGTCATAGTGAGGCAGAAGTAATTCAGACTATATCTCTACACCAATTGTGAGATCAAGACCTGTCTTCTCATTTCTTACACCAGCAACACTTTCCCCACCGTGAGTCACCATATCTGTATCTCTCTCAAAAACCTTAATAGTATATAACTCTGATTTGCTCTCATCTAAATCACTTGTGGAGTGGGTGCTTTTTAGTTTTGTTTAAGTTCAGCTTAATTTGGTTTGGTGGCAGTATTAGGAGATTTCTTTATTAGTTTAAGTAATGATATTACCTTTGACTTTACTCTGCAGAGATGAAAAGAGCAATACTTCGTGAATGTCGGAACTGACAGTGGGTTAACTATAGCTGGCTTTTACTATATTTGCTTCTCTTGTAATGGCTTTTATTATGATCCTAATAGCAGGTATGCTGCCTCCTTATTCACAATTCCTGATCAGAAGTGCTTCACAATCCACATTGCGACTCCCCTTTAATTCTTGAAAATATAAAATTGTTATGACAACAACTACGTTTCCTTTTTCAATTGAACTGTATGCATGTTCATGAACCAAACATGTTACGCCATGTACTTTATGCATTTTAGTTTGTATTCTCCTAAACCTATTCAAGTGATTGATAAGGACGTGTTCAACTTTGTCTGCAGCCCATTTCAGAAACTCGAGCTGAAATCAACTCATGAAGGAAGATTAGGTTTCTATTTTTCTTCATATGAGTTGCAATAAATGGAAATAGGCAGTTTTTTCCAAGACTGGTACTATAGATAGAATATGAGCATTTCATTGAGCCGCATAAAGTTTGTGAAAGTTGATGTTGCAGTTGCTGCTGCGTAAAGCTTGACAAGGTGAAGTCTGTTACATGTTGAGGGAGCACATGGAGAATCTGAACAATGTGAACTACAAAATTTACCATGGAAGAGTTGATGTTATGTGTGCTGTTTTTTTAATTTTTAATTTTTATTGTTATGTGCTTCCATCTATGCTGGAAAGATTATTTTGTATCCCCCATTGTTTAAACATAACTATAAAGCTCTAGCAAAAAAAGTTACTCTCTCCCTCAGCATATCATTCATTTTCCAGAAACCAAAAAATTCAGTGCGTTTTTTGATAAAAACACAAATAGAGATGTGTGTGTGAAGCTTAGTAGCTAAAAATAAAAATAAAATGAAGAAAAACTTTTAGCTACTAAATATTTAGTAGCTAAAAATAAAAATAAAATGGAGAAAAACTTTTGGCTACTAAATATTTAGTAGCTAAAATAAAAGCAAACTTTAGGCGACTACGAATTTAGTAGCTAAAAATAAATAAATAAAATAAATAAAACAATAAGATGGAAAAAAACCCTTTGGCGACTAAAACTTTGGTCGCTGTAGATACTTCAAGTTTTGGCTACCAAAGTTTTACTAGCGGAATATAAGATTTTTGGCGACTAAAATATTATTTTTAGAGACAAAAAACATTAGTCGCCATTTATAGGACTTTTGACGATTAAAATTTTTTTTGTCGCCAATACTTTCACCGACCGTCTTTTCACAACCAAGTCGGCGACCAAACTATTTAGTCGGGAAAACCTTTTGGCGACTAAAAATTTAGTCGCCAAAAGTAAAATTTCTTGTAGTGTGGGTATGGGCATCCTGAGGCAGCAAAATGAAAAAGATTCATGGGAACTATTGCATAGACTTCACGATTAGATGAGTATTTCATGGGTATGCATCGGGGACTTTAAAGAAATTTTATTTGCTCATGAGAAAGCTGGGATGGTGGCTCGCTCTCAAACTCAAATGGATGGTTTTCAAAGGGCACTTTCTGAATATAATTTGGCTGATTTGGGTTTTGAAGGGGCCCCATTTACTTGGTGTAATGGTAGACATGAGGAAGGAATGATTAGAGAATGGCTCAATAGAGGAGTAGCGAATGATAGTTGACTAAATTTATTTCCTTTGGCTAAGGTGTATCATTTGGGTTGTACATCTTCGGATCATATCCCTATCTTGTTGGATGTAGAAGGGGCTAAAGTGATCGCACAACAGGCCCCAAAGCACTAAAAGTTATACCGATTTGAAGCGATGTGGCTGTGTGAGGCCGAATGTGAGGATATAGTAAAGGCTATGTGGAATCGGGATAACAATCTATCTGGGATGGAGTTAGTTTTGAGTAAAGTGGCTACAGCTACGTCCGGATTGCAAGACTGGAACTGGAGGGTTCTTGGGAATGTTCAACGACAAATTCAAATGAAGATGCCTTTTCTTCAGCAGTTGCAAGCTCAACAAAGTTTGTTGGATAATGATATGATAGAGGTGAAGAGGGTCCAAGTAGAGATGAATAAGCTCCTAGAAAAAGAGTCGGTTATGTGGGCTCAATGGGCGCGGGCTAATTGGCTCAAGGAAAGGGATAGAAACACAGCATTTTCCCATGCCATAGCATCCTAATGGCAAAAGAAGAAGACTATCAATGGGCTGGAGAATGAAAGGGACGTTTGGTGCACAAATTCGAATGAGCCGAACGAAATCGTGGCCAACTATTTTCAAGAATTGTTGATAACAAGTTCACTGAGTAACATGGAGATAGTGGTGGAGAGTATGACTCGTCTGGTCCTAATGAGATGGCACAAAGGTTAGATAGGATGTTTGTGCCAGAGAAGGTTAGACATGTGCTGTTCTAAATGCATCCTACTAAGGCTCTAATCCCTGATGGAAAACTAGCTCTTTTTTTCCAGAAATTTTGGCCTCTGGTTCGCCTGAATGTGTGTAAGGAAGTGCTTGGTATCCTTAATGATGGGTAGGATGTATCTTTAATTAGTAATACTTACATTGTCCTCATTCCTAAGGTGAAGCAACCAAGATCTCCGAATCAATTTAGACCAATCAGTCTATGTAATGTGGTTTACAAGCTGGTATTGAAAGTGTTGGCCAATTGACAGCAAAAAGTGTTGAATGAGGTGGTGTCTCCGACGCAAAGTGCATTTGTCCTAGGTAGAGCTATTAACGACAATGTTTTTATGGCTTTTGAAGTGTTCCATTATTTGAAGAATAAGATGAGGGACAAGGTTGGCTATTTTGCGTTAAAATTGGACATGAGCAAGCCATATGACTGGGTTGAATGGGAGTTCGTGAAAGTGATTTTGGTCAAAATGGGTTTCCTGCAAATATTCATTCGGTTGGTGATGCAATGTCTATCTAGTGTTTCTTATTCGGTGCTCTTGAATGGACGACCTACACAATAGTTGTTTTCGTCATGAGGCATTAGACAAGGTGATCCTATATCCCAATATTTATTCTTGCTGTGTACGGAGGCCCTATCCGCGCTGATTCATCAGGCTAAAGCTGAGAACCTGATTTTAGGAATTTTGATCGGTCGGGGATGCCAGCGTCTCTCTCATCTATTCTTCAATGATGATAGCCTATTGTTTGTTGAGGCTAGTGACCAGGTGGTGGATTATATTTGTTCAACCCTCCAGAAATATGAGGCAACATTTGGGAAAAAAGTAAACTTTGAGAAATCCGGAATTTGTTGTAGTAAGAATGTGGGGATTGAAGAGCTGAATCGGATTTCAGCATTATTTGGGGTGGGTCAACTTGTTCGTGACGGTAAGTACTTGGGAATGTCATTTTTTGTGGGATGGTCGAAGAATACGGTTTTCAATCATATTAAAGATCGGGTATGGAAGTGTTTCAATAGGTGGAAGGAGAAGTCATTATCCGCAGCAGGGAGAGAGGTTTTAACCAAAGCAGTGGCCTACACAATCCCAATCTATATCATGTCGTGTTTCCAATTACCAGAAGACTTGTGTCATGCGATAAGTGCGCTTATAGCAAGGTTTTGGTTGGGACAAAAGGAAGAGGAGCAAAATTCATTGGCGTAGTTGGGATGGTTTATGCAAAGTGAAGAGTGAGGAAGTAATGGGATTTCGCTTCCTATCGGTGTTCAATCGGGCTTTTCTAGCTAAACAAAGATGGCAGCTTCTCAAGTTCCCCAACAGTCTCGCGGCTTAGATTTTGAAAGCGAAATATTATCCACATTCTACAATTCTTGATGTGTCGTTGGGGTCAAATCCATCTTTTTCTTGGAGGAGTATTTGGGGTGCGAAATCTCTCTTTATGAAAGGCCTGAGATGGCGAGTTGGAGATGGGTAACACATTTGAATTTGGCACGACAAGTGGGTGCCACGACCATATTCATTACAGATTTGGTCTGCCCCATGAGTTTGCTAGTGCCTTAATTGATAATGATACTGGGAATTGGAACGTAGAGGTTCTAAATCAATGCTTTCTTCCGTCTGAGGTGGAGGTAATCCAAGCTATACTAGTTTGCCCATATCCGATAGATGATGGTTTGGCACTATACCAGAAATGGCCTATTCTCGGGACGATCAGCTTATCATCTTAAGATGGGTGTGCGAACTCATAGACATCATCAGAGGCTAGAACTTTAATGGAAAGGTTTTGGAGGAATTCTTGGGCAATAGGTCTCTGGGGTAGGATTAAAATCTTTGGATGGAAAATGTGTTTAAGCATATTACCTGTGCAAACTAATTTGCAGAGGTGCAAGGTGCTCTTTAATGACGTTTGCCCACTGTGTAAGGTGGAAGCTGAGTCTGTTCAACATTGCTTTGTAGATTGTGATTTTGCCAAAGAGGTGTGGGAAAATAGTCGCTTCGACTCAATTGTGGGAAGAAGGACAGGTGGTGGTTTTTTTAGGTGGATGGTGGATCCCCTTTCAAAGCTGGATGAGGAAACATGAGAGCTCTTCTTTGTTTTTTGTTAGTGCATTTGGATGAATAGGAACTAGGTGGTATTCAATGATAAATGGAGATCTGGGATTGAGTTCGCAAGGTATGCTCAGGAATTCTATGTTGAGCTATCCCAGATTAGAGTTCGTGTTCAGATTATGCCGGGTGTACAGTCGCCGATGTGTTGGCAGCCTTCTGCAGAAGTCTTTTTCAAGATTAACTTTGATGGGGCTTGTTTAAAATCTGAAGGCTTGAGTAGCTTGGGCGTAGTTGTTTGACACCATTGGAGAGCGGTTATTGCAGGTATGTCAGCAGCTCGGAAGTCATCTATAGAGGTAGACTGTTTTGAAGCATTTGCAGCTCTATCTATGGTTCAGCTTGCACACGATTTGGGCTTGCACTTGATCGTTGTCGAAAGAGATTTGCTGTCAGTTATACGCGCGTATCAGTCCTCGACAGAAGTGCTGTCATCTTCTTATGGTGTAGTGTGTGTTGGGTATACCTCCTTATTGGAGTGTGAGACCCAATTGATCTATTAAAAGAGTTTCAATTTGGCTTGGTTTAGGTATAATATATTTTTATATATTATATTTGTGGAGACCTAATTCAATTTAGATGCAATTAGGGTTTGATTTCAAAACCCAAGATTTAATAATATATATATCCAATATATATATTATTTTGTTTCAACACAGAAACACAGGTGAACGGCTGCCTTATGGTTTTTTTGGGTTTTTCAAAGGTGAGCAACCATTGGTGATCATTAATTGTTGGTGAGATAGTGCTTGGTACATAATCAAAATTGGTGGTTTTTATATATATATATATATATATATTTTAAAAATAAAAACTAATTTAATGAAAATAAACACCAAAATAATATTTTAAAATTTACCAAAAAAGAAAAAATCACGTGAAAGTGATTTTTTTTTGGTTTACCAATTTAACTTTTATTTAAAAAGAAAACAATATACAGATTTTTGAAAGTTCAAAACATGTATGGTGATTAAAATTTTTGGTTTGGTTACCAAAATTTGTTTTTGAAATTTTTTGGAAAAAATAAAAAACTAACTGTTGTTTGGTTTGAATTTTTTTTCCTGAAATTAAAAAAAAAAAAACACTAAAAACATATTTTTAAAACTTTTAAAAATCATTTTATCTTAAAAAAAAATTATATAAAATTGATGAGTGTTTATTTATATAAAATTGATGAGTGTTTATTTATTTACTATTATTTTTTTTCACAAAATTAAGCATTGTTTGGTTTGATTTTAGGAACTTATTGTTTATAAAATAAAAATTTAAAATTTAAGTTAATAAAATAATAATAAATTAAATACACTAATTATTTCATATAATTTTTTTAAGAGATAAAAATAGTTCTTTTAAATTAAAAAATTTCCTTTTATTGTTTATTTTTGTCAACCTAATTCATGTTTTTTCAAAAAAAAAGAAAGAAAAAAAGAATTCAAAAACTTATTCAAAAATTGAAACCAAACCGAACCTTAAGGCTTCATTTGGGGGAAAAAAATTTTAGTTTAATTTTTTGATTGTCTTAGCCTAACTAAAAAAGTTCTATTTGAGATGAATTTTTGATTTTTTTTTTATAGTTTTATAAGGAAAAAAAAATAAAATTATTATAATTTAAATGTGATTTTTATTTTATTTATTTTATAATTTATTTTATCTGAGTTAAATTAGGGAATATTTGGCATGTGTTAAAATAACGCGTATTATTTTAGCACATTATTTGATTTGTGTCATAATCATCTTATTTAGGTCACATCATCTTTCTACCACATTACTTTAATTTCAACTCACATTTCATATTTTTTTTAGTAAAAAGTCAAAAAATATACTAATCTAACACGTTTGAAACAAATCCTAAATCATAGTGGTCCAACACTGTCAAATCGCGCCTCAACTTTCTGTAACCAGACCGAACATTAGTCTCACCCTCTTACTAAATTATCACTGATTCGGCCGACACAGCACAAAACCTTGACCATAGCGTTGCGTTCCACCTCTCTCTAGTTTCAAGTTTTGAACCCTCGCACTCTTCCAGCACTCTCTGTTCTCTTCAACGTCGAAGCACAAAAGCGCGGGCTCGTTTTTTTCTAGGGTTTCAAATTTCAACTTCTCTCTTCCAATTTCCAATTCTGGAACTCAAAAGCAGCTTCAATGGCCACCACCACAACTCCATCTTCCACCGATCAAGCTGTTACCACCACCAACTCCGTCGACCCCTCTCTCTGGTGGGACTCTTTCTCTCTCTTACTCACTGACCTCGAGAACTCTCCTCCCTCCTCCGACCTCCCTCCTCATCTGGTACAATTCCTTCCTCTCAATCCAAAATTCCCAAATGTATATCAGTATTTGATGTATTTTGACTGTAAATCAGTATATCAAGTATTTTTAGTATGTTGTGAGGTGTCTTGTATTTACTCAACTCCCAGCCCAGGGTGCGCGACGCACTTGAATTTGCTTGCAATCCGGGGCCGAAATTGATATTTATGGGCCTGTAATGTTTGTTCCGGCTCAGTGTATACGTTGTAGGGTTATTGAGAAAAAAACATAGAGCTGCGGAGTGTTTTGTAATCCGAATTGTGTATAGTTGATTTGATCATTTCACCGAACTACGAATATCTTGTGCTTGTGTGTGCACTTCTTCTTCTTGTTATTTGTTTATTGTGTGATTGAAACTAGGTTCTTGCATACCGGAGTAGTATATGCTTTTAAATATGTTGTTTTGAATAAAAAAAAGTTGTGTATTTGTTTAGGTAAAGAAGATGAATGCTAATCATGCGTGGTTTCTGGACACTGTTTCTCGTTTCAAGCCCCCAAATGAGAAATCAAGAGAGGTTTTGAATTCACACCGAGTTAATGTGGGGTCGCATCAGTTGACTATACAGCCTGAATTGAAAGATGCGGCGCTCAAAATTAGTTTGATTTTGGTAAGCTTTTTGCTCTTCTTTTGTTTGTTGAATGTTGTTGTGTTGGGATTTTGTTGGAATTTAAGAAGCATGGATACGGACACGTGACACGACATGGATACGATACAGACAAGTCGACACGTTAATTTTCAAAAAATGTAAGACACGACACGTGGAGACACGCATGAAATATATAATTTTATATATTTATTTTATGTTATATATAAATATATTATTCAAAGATAATAAAAAATATAATATGACACTAATTCCTATAAATATATATGGGTTTCGTTTTATTATTGTCATTTGTATCTTAAGTTGTTTTGTTCAAACTTATAATTAGTTTTACATATGTCTAATCAATAGACATGTGCGTTTAAGCAATTGACATGTGTGTCTTCCAAATATCCAAAGAGTGTCTAGGTCTTTAAAGAAATTTAAAAAATAGGACACGTTTTGAAGAGTGTCGGACACGTGTCCTAAGAGTGTTCAAAGAGTGTCGGCATCTGACACGGACACAACACAGAACGTCACCTTCTTCGAAATGTCCGTGCTTGGAATCAGAGGTGGCTTCCCTATGTCTATCTTTTGTTAGTTGTTTTCGCCTTGATGCATGTCTTAAAGTTGCCTTTGAAAACTTCGGTTATTATAGACTAAAGCAAAGTTGTGAAAGGCTATATTGAGAATCACATTGAGGCTTGAGGCGAGGTTAAGGCAAAGGCCACCGAGACTTTGATTTTTAGGTGATACTCGCTAAAAGATCACAATCTCAGACGTGCACCTAAGGTGCGCCTTGTACCTCTCTTGCGTATAAGCATATGGAGATTACACATATGGAGAGCTTGTCTTGAGCTACTTTTAAACTTAGTCTAATACATGGCTTAAATAAAAAAAAAGGACCTCTCTTTTGTAAATATATTCCATGGGCAAAATAAAGTAAATGATTAACAAAGAAAAAACACAAAGCTCATACTCAAGCGACAAGCTCGATAACTAAAGCTTAGAATGTCAATTTTACCTTCATTGAGAACAAGCTTCCTTTTTGAGTAGTGAAATGTTCGACACCCTGAGCTAAAAAATATTTACACCTTTATATTTAATTTTAATATTTTTACTATTTTAAAATGTTTTATCTATTTACTAAAGATAAAATTCAAAATGCTTATGCCTCGCCTCACGAAGGGTAAAATGTCTCACGTTATGCATTTGCCTTTAAAAACTTTGGTGTGGAGCACCATTGCTTTTTGCAACCAACCCTTGATGACCAAAAAATCTCTTCCAATCAGAATATCTGGAAACCCCATTGAACACTTCATTGGCCTTCCCATGAAGTGAGTGTTCAACTTTAATGGCATTGCCAGTGTGTATTGGCTTTGAAAATGTAAGAATGACATTGTTTCTATGGTCTCTAAAAATGCCCCCATCTCCAATCATGCATTTTTCCTATAGAACATCTATCATAATTAAACTTGAGTCTTCCAAGAGGTGAACCCACAATGTACTAATAAAAAAAAAAAAAAAAAAAGTGAAAAGAGAGGGGAACCCATAATGTTGGCAGTGGTCCAAGTGTCAATGGTAATAGTTTTAATGCTTGTACTAGTGGCTATGAGAGGGTGGTGGCTACCAGTGTTTTTAAAGGCGAAAGCCAAGGCGAGGCGTTTTACCCTTGTTGAGGCGAGGCGAGGCGTAAGCCTTTTGAATTTTGATTTTTTTTATTTTTATAAAATACAAAATTAATTAAATATAGCATAAAAAGAGTAAAAAAAAAATAAGAATTACCAAATAAAATTCTTAAAAGCCATTCTAAGCATAAAACCAAAATTAATTAATAATTTCAAGTATTATAAGAGCTTTCTAAGTCATTCTCATTAATACTATAATAAAAAAATGACTTGAAGTGATGGTCAAAATAACTTAAACTCCAATTGTTCAATAAACAAAATAACTTAAACTTTAATACTCTATAAACAAAGCAATAAACAAATAATTGGTCACTCTAAGTCATTCTCATTAATATTGTCTTCATCTTCGTCCGCTATATCTATAATGGGATAGGTTCCATCATCTATTCCGCCAACTTCTTCCAACTCCATATCTTCATCCACAAGGGTGCATCTTGCTGCCTTGCCTTTTCCCCTATCATTTCCTATACAAGAAATAGGATTTCAAATTAATTAAATACGCACATATAATAATATATATGCAACTAGTCCATAATTGTTTAACAACTTGAACCTTCGCCAACTTTTCTTTTCTTTGCATTCGAAGATGAGTGTACATTAATCGTAGTCGTAGTTGATCGATTCTCCATACTTCAATCATAGGTAGTGATAGGCATAGTCCTAATTGTTTCAGCATCGAACAATTCTTCTTCATCAAGCCAAAAAACATCAAGGGAGAGGACATGATCGTCTTTTTCAGCAATCCATTCATCATCCGAATCAATTTCATAAATAAGTATTGGATCGATGTTTTGTCTTCTTCTGATACTCCTCTCTCTTAGTTTAGTGTTGTACTTCATCTAGACCAAAGCATTCAAACGTTTGTGCTCAAGCTTATTCCTTTTTTTTGTATGAATCTAATATAATAATATTAGAAATGAAATATAACAAGTTAGAAACATGAATATTTTATTTTATGCATAAGAAAGTTTCGGAAAGAAAGATATATTACTGACTCAAAGGTGCTCCAATTCCTTTCACATCCCGAAGCACTACAAGTTAGACTAAGTATTCGAATAGCAAATTTTGGTAACGTTGTTGTTTTGCTTCCAAAACGAATCCACCAATCAGCTACATAATTTGAAAAATGCACAAATGGTTTCAATCTCGTATTTTAATTTTAAAGAATGTAATTGGAAAATTATTTTCATATTAGTTTCTTACCGGGAGAGCGTATCGCTTTGGAATCAATTGCAACACGGCTTCTGAATTCCCCTTTTGCTTGGTCGTAATAGTCCAATTGGATATCAACCTTGAGATGCTCATCGTAACTCAACATTCTATCCATGCACTTATACAGTCCTTGCCTCACCTCCTCAACATTGGAGAAGGCATCTTGATATCGCAACTGAGGGTTTAGATAATAACCAGCAGCATGTAAAGGTCTATGATGTTGTGGTGTCCACCTTGCATCTGTCTTATTCCAAATTGGTCTGTACTTCCTAACATTTCCTCTACAATTGAAAGCAATCTTTTGTTTAGCCGAATCCATCAACTCATAAATGTAACCCATAGCAGGCCTCTCATCTGAATCAACTTCTCGCAAAACACTAACCAAAGGTATTGTGCTTTTGATTCAAAAAGCAACATTAGGCCAAAATTTTGGATCAAACAACACAGTTGCACAAGCCTTTACCCCTTCAACTTTTCTTGCCCAACTACTAGAAGCCCACTTTTCTGAAGAAAACATAGTTTGGAGTGGTTGCTTTTGTTTGTAAAGACTTTGGAGAGTAAGATAAGCAGTGGCAAACTGTGTTATTGCTGGACGGAGTAGTTCACTGTTCTTTGTAAATGATCTCATCATTGAAAGAACCCAACAATGTCCATATATAAACTTGACCATTTGCCTAGCTAACGAGAGAGTTTGGTCAGACTTTCAATTTTCCAATGTCCTCCAACATTAAATCAATATAATGCGCAGCACATGGCGTCCAATACTACTTCTTCCTCTTCTCCATATGTCTTGACCCGGCATTGACATAGCTTGAAGCATTATCAGTAATAACTTGAACAACATTATCTTTTACAATTTCATTTACAACACTATCAAGATAGTTAAACATCAACTCCCCATTTTTTTATAGTATCAGATGCATCAATTGATTTTAAAAACCAAGTTCCAGCAGGGCTATTCACAAGAAAATTAATAAGAACTCTACTTTTCCCATCTGTCCAGCCATCAGACATAATTGAACATCCATATTGTTTCTATGCTTTCTTATGTTCCTCCATCATGACATTTATATCTTCTACTTCTGCTTTAAGAACCTAAGTCCTCAATTCATGCATAGAAGGGGGTTTGAAACCAGGTCCACAATTTGCAATTCCATCAACTGCAGCTACCCAATACGAATCATTCACCAAATTAAATGGAAGAGCTTTACAATATATAAAACGCCCAATCTTTCGGCACACATCTTTTCTTTCTTCTTGTTTCCATTTGGAGTTCAGTGTAGGTTGTCGTGCTTGCGAACTAGCAAATTTATCCATTGGACCCCTCGGTTTTGGTGGTTGTGTCATACCACTAGTATTGCCTTCAATAGATTGAGAAGCACCACTCTCGCTCTTTTCTTCAGCACCCATCCCAATTTCATATAGCATCTCATTGTGGGCACTTTTTTGCTCAAAGAAATTTTTTAATGCATGTTGGCATTCTAACTTTACATCTTCAGTAACTTTTGAACACAGTTTAATGCCTTTATGCGTGCTGGCTAAATGATTTTTAATCGACTTACAGTACCACTACAATTTTGATCACAAAATTTACATCTAAAATACTTTTCCCCATCAACTTCTTTTACATATTTCTGGACAAAATCTTTTCTTTGGCCTTTGGGTTCAGTCATTTTTTTCCCCCCACCAACTTATCAAACAGTAGCACTGTATAAAAATAAACAAATAAAAAAATAAAAACAAAAAAGATATTGGTTAGGTGGGATGGCAAAAAGAAGAATAGAATGTTAACAACAATAATAATAATAAATTAAAGTCTATCAAATAATAATAATAAATGAAAGAAGGAGAAACTAAGTTGTAATAATAATAATAATAATAATAATAATAATAATAATATATTAGTCTACAATGTAGATAAGTATAATAGAGAGATATTTGTTTGTACAGAAACAGAGAGATAGATATATACATCACGGTCGGAGTGAAAGAACCAACACGATGAGAGAGAGAGAGAGAGAGAGAGAGAGAGAGAGAGAGAGAGAGAGACTTCGTACCTTGAAAACCCTTGTTCATTGGAGAAGATTAGAAGACTGATTCGAAGTTGTTGGGACTCTGATTCGAAGAAGATCGACTTACATGGTATTTATATCTTCTTCTTGAGCAATTTTTGTTTCAATTGAAGTCGTTTATAGCAATTTTCCATCAACTACTCTATCGTTTTCCTTTTTTGATTTTTGAAATTGAACTTCTCAAAGGCTTGCGCCTCGCTGTCAAAAGCGTAAAAAGTGCATAAAGCGCGGCAGATGCTTACGCCTCTGCGTTTAACACGTACGCATATCTGGTGTCTTGCCCAAAAAAGAACGCATCTGTGTATTGTCCGTACGCCTCGCCTCAAGTTGTGCCTCGTATATGCCTTTGAAAACCTTGGTGGCTACCATAGTTGTCAAATCGGGATTCGAATCGTGAATCGAAATGATATTGTACCGAATTGCGAATTGAATCGAATAGTGAATCGTAAAGATTCGGTCACCTTTTTTTAATTAGATAGAAAATATATCTACACGCTTACATCTTAAATATATCTAATAAATATGAAATATTTAGACTTAATTCAATAAAAAAATTGTTTTAAATGATGATCATTTGGTCTGAGTAAGAAGTTAACACTGGTTCCCATGTTTACCACTTCACATTTTCCCTTTTAGATACTATTCCTTATCAACAGTTCTTAATAAAGAAAGCAAATAAAGACAAACTTTCAATTTTCAAGTAACAATAACTCAACAATAATGTTTTTAATTTTTTACAAGGTTAAAAAAATCAAAATCTTCGAACTTTTTAAAAATCTCACTTGATGCCTTCAAAAAATTCATTTTGTAAATGCAAATACTTAGATAAAATTGAATATGTAAGCCTAGAATATTGTAGAGAGAGAAAGTTCATTTTTTTCTGCTACGGTTTGAGTATATAAGAGTAAATAGGGAGGGGAGAAAGTCAAAAGACGGCATATAGTAATCTTAGAGACCTTAAAAAGGTTGTTTGAACTCTTTTCCAACAATAAAAAACCAAAAGAGAGTCAAACATCTATTTCAGCGAATCGAATCGATTCAACCACGATTCATAGTTATTTGCGATTCACAGTTATTTGCGATTCACACAACCTGTTGTTAGAGAGGTGTCGATGATTGGTGATCTTGATGGTGGCGGAGACAATGGCCTTCATTTTTTTTAGATGAAAAAAATTTATTTTACTTGACTTTGGTGCGTGTTTTCAAGTGGTTCAACAGGTAAAGGGGTTTTGTTTCGATAGTTTTTCTCATTATTTTTGATAAATAAGGAGTAAACTTTTACTTTAAAGAGCATCAAGGAGATGCTAAACAATACACCCTCTGCCAAAAAGAACTAAACATATAAGCATCTATAAAATCCAAAAAAAGAAAATAATCTGGAGATACTTTCCCCGTGACTCAAGTATACGGGACCCTTAGAAAATTATTCTTCAAGATAGACAAAGGGATTGCCACCCTTGGAAAATCTGCTGATTACGTTCCAACCAGATCAACTACATCAAACACTACGACGCCAGATCCCATGCCTTTCGGCATCTCTTCCCAACCCTACCCTCTTTCCAACTGGAAAGCACACCCTCCACGCAACTCGGCTACACCTAGACTATCCTAATCACCAAAAAAATCGACGACCAAAACTGATATGTGATGGGGGTAGTGAAGTAAAAGGTAAGGAATAGACTCTGCATCCATACTACACACGCAACTCCAATTTACCAAAATCTGGCCACACCGAATAAGAATTTTTAATGTCAAAATCCGATTAGATTCTGCCGTCCACACAAAAAAAGCCACCTTAGATGGTGCCGCAGACACCCACACACTTCACCAAGGAGAAGGCGCAGACCCTCCTTCCACCTGAGCATGATAAAAAGAAGAGATAGAAAAAACCCCTTTGGCACCCTTACAACACCACATCATACAATGCCAACAAATCCACTAATTGACCAACCTGTCAATAAAAAATCTATCGACGAAGTCTCACATTCCAAACCACTTGGCCTGTAGTTAACACCATGGATCCACCGCTATGCGAAGTATAGGAAATGGAATTGCCAAAGTCTGGTCACCACGCCACCTGTACTTTCAAAAGTGCACCGTATTCTCGCTACCCACTCAAAAGCCAACCCAGCTCTAAAACTCCACCGTATTAGAAAAAATACCTTTCCACAAACCCCTCCTATGAGTTCCTAGCACCACTTGTGAACTCTAATCCCCCCACCTAGCCATGGTTATTAAAATTGCAATCCGGATTGTAGGATCGTACGATTCTACGATCCTACATTGCTAAAATGATCCAGATCGTTGTAAGATCGATGTTATAACAGAATTGCAAGTAGGACTGTAGGTAGGATCGTTGATTTTGTGATTTTTCACCTTATTTTTAATTTGTATCATTCTAATTTGTATTTTTATCTTTTTTTAATAGAAAGTAGGATCCAATGATCCTCGATCTGATCCTACGATCCTCGATCTGATCCTACGATTCGATCCATGAGACCCTCTCACCAATCCTACCTAGGATCCCGATTTTAACAACCTTGCACCTAGTGTTATTGAAAGCGATAAGCGCACCAAGGCGCCAAGATCTCTTGAGGCCTTAGGCGCAAGGCGATGTGCTGCATAGTCTTCATCGAAGTAAGGCGCACCATGGCATGTTGAAATAATATAATTTAATATGAGGCATATAAACAACTAACTAACTGGTATACCATAAACAAAATGAAACATTGAACATTTTAAAAGTAGAGAAGAAACAGAGCAATTCAGAATAAATATTTAATAAACAAGGCAGTTCAGAGAAGAAAATAAAAAAAAGAAAAAAGAAGAAAAGTAGAAAATAAAAGCAAAAGAAAAGCAGAGTAGAAGGTAGAGAAGAAAAGCAAAGAAGAAGAAGAAGAAGTAGATAGCATGGGTATATTTGAAGCCCTAAAAATCTCAGCTTAGCCTAACTCTATAAACAAGAACAGAGAGAAGAGAAGAGAAAAAGAGAAGAACAAATGAAGAAGAAGAAAAAAAAGAGACGAAGAAGAAGAAGGACATGACGATGACTGACAAAGAGAAGAGAAGAGACGAAGAGAACGGACAAAGAGAATGGGAAGAAGAGACAAAGAAACAATGAGAAGAAGAACATACCTACGAAGCTCCTGGATTGGACAACGAGTTTGACTTCTTCGGAGCTTTGGATTAGGGCTTGTTTTTTCTTCTGTTGTTTGTTGATTTGGGGCTAAATCGACAATATTAGCATGTATATTTGAAGTATATGATCTGTTGTATTGTAGCTAACACATATAATTTTAGTGGTCTAATTGGAATAAAAAAAAAAAAGCCCTTAAGGCCTGCACCTTGGGCTTAATTGCGCCTTGTTCCAGTCACGCACTTTAATCGTGCCTTAATGAAGTTGCCTCGCCTTGACCATTGCAAGGCGAAGGTGGCGGGCATGGCTGGAACTTGAGCCTAGGCACGCTTTTAATAACATTGCTTGCACCCAACCCCATATTTACCTGCTACAACTTTATGCTAGAAACGCTCCTCTGTTGCGAACCACCAAAGCTACTTCTCTAATAAAACCTTGTTAAAGACCAATTTCCTCAACCTCAACCTACCCATTTCCTTAGGGTTACCCTATAGTTTAGAGTTTAGAATATGTTCTTGGTTGTTACAAGTTTTAGATTCTAATGGATTTAGCGTAAAGTTTAGAATATGTTCTTGGTTTTCTAACCAAATGCAAATGTAGAAGTACATGCTTTCTCATTAATGATGTGTTATTGTTGTGAAACAAATAGGCCCCATATATTAGATGTTTAACTTTGTAGGTGGGATTTTATTGTGTGAATAATGCCTGCTAGATTTCTTGACATTCAATGTATCAGCTCTCATCTATTTGTTGAGGAAATGAAATAGCTTTTCATTCCTTCCAGGGTTTAGATGAGGTTCAGGCATATATTCTTGTCAAAAGGGTGATTGAGCGCAATACTCTAGCCATTGATCTTATAGCTAATGAGCTTCTTCATTCGGTTAGTATATTTTCTCTTTTTGATTCTTCCTTCCTCATTTTTTCACTAATTTTATTTTTTTTATACTGCACTCTCTTTAATTGTTGATGCTCAACTAGTGGCCTCAGATTTATTTTCGCGTTATGTATAAACAATCATTGCTAGATCCATGATGTTATAATAATCATTGTTCTGGTTTGTATTGATATTAAATGCAATGTATAATCCCCTCTGGCCCATGATTGTCTTCCTTATAAGACTAGTTATTTCATTTCACCTTTCTATCAGATGGCCTAATTAATGCCATCACAGCTTGAATGCTTGTCACTATTATTTCATGCCATGGGTTACTGCAAAAATGACAAATCTTCATGGACTTACTTTTCTACAAGGGTGCCAATCTTTGTGGGACAGAAAGACATTTGTTGTCACAATCATGTGTTGTCATGCAAGCCAGGTTCATCTGATATTTCTTTTTGTTGTATTTGTTGTTCTTATCATTTTCTTGTTACCATTCTCTGCATATGAAAATTTGCGAAGTACCAACTAACTAAATGTTAGATGATAACTTTGATAATTGCAAACTTATCCCTACCCTTCAAAGATTGAAATAATGAGTTATCTTGGCTGAGGAGGTAGGGTGAGTTAGGCCCCATTCAGATATAATCCTTCCATCTTTCCATAATTTTTCTCTCATTCACTACAGTCTTTGTTTCCAACTCTAATGCACTCATCGCAACCTGTTTATTACATACACGCACTTTTATTGTTCTAGGTTTTTTTGGTTGGTTTTTTTTTATTATTATTAGTTTTTCCCCCCCAAGGCTGCACATTGTTTTGGCCTCCGTTATTGGGCACTCCCTTTCTGTTACTCACAATATGCGGAGCTGTCCCCTTTGCCAACTGACTGTCAATAAATAACCATAAGGTCCATAACAGAAAAAATGTCAATATGTTAATAGTTCACCACAGTGATTTTGAAAAAAATAAATTGAGATGTATATTATTGATTGATGTATTGATTTCTATTACAAATGGTGAGTGGCTCATTATATAGGAGAGGGTGAGTGTAGTAGGTGAGGAGTAGGTAGGTGGTGGTAGGTGATGGTAAATTGGTGGTAGGTGATGGTAAATTCTAACAGATTTTAGCCTTGTTGAAGTTGATGAAAATGCACAATATCTTCCATTCCTTTATGGTTTGACTGCAATTCAACTAAAAACAGGCTACTGATGCATAAAAGTAATCCCATTGTGCCACATCACCATAGTAAATCTAACGGAGCATCTACTGTAACCCAAACAATAGTTGTAGGCCTCCTCGATCTTCTTGGTGAACTCCACCACCACTATTTGCCTGATTTCATTGCCATTCCCAAACACCCACTCTCAATGCCCTGACGTCAGTGATGGGGACAAGTCCCCTATCTTCTGATTTGATCTTTGCTGTTTCACTGACAATGAATAACAAATTCTGATTTGATCGTTGCTGTGTCACTGACAATGAATAACGAATTGATTTTGTATTCATTGCATTACTTTCAAAAGATTGGAAAACCACTTGTAATTGCAAGTTTGTTTGTTGGGGTTTTTAATAATGATGGTGACGTGGGTGGTGTGATCAGGAGGCAATGCAAAGGTTGAATTGGGAGGTTTGGAGAGTGCAGAGGGAGAATCATCATAACAATGATCATGTCATTTCAAAACCCGGCATTGTCACTGTCAACTAACCCATAAAACTTCTAGAATCTTTTTCCTCAATTCTACCCCCATCTCCTTGTTTGTATTCATTCATCACAACCAAACCCAATCATCATGGGTTTTCTACATTCTTTCAACTAGAAGAAGAAACACATGAATCTCATAAAGGTATATTTAGTTGACTTGTGATTGTCAAAAGTATACTGTTATGGAACATCAATTATATGTGGAAGCTTTAATATGCCGAAGCGACCCATATGACATTCTGTTTTTACTTTCTCTTTGTTGTGAAGGTAATGCTTCAGTACTACATTGAGCGGCAATGCTTATTGAAGTGTACCCGTCAGATTATCATGCATGCATGTAAGTCCATTTTGCAGCTGGTTTAATTCCATTTTACACTTGTGCTCTCTCTCTCTCTCTCTATATATATATATATAAATGTATACATGCATATATTTATGAACTTCTTTTATTTTTAAACTCAGGGTATTCTGTTTATTCACTTCGGTAGAGGTTTGGGATATACATTTGCCATGTGCATCATATAGTATTTTGAACTGCATGCGCACAAGTACTGTGATTTTATAAAAACAAATCAGTTATTAGTACTCATCTCCCATTCCTGTCAATTCATGGAAGTACTATCATTTATAACCTAAGATTAAATGCAACCTATAATCTATGATTATCATATGATATGATTATGTATAGCTGGAAGTGTTCTGAATTCTGATATCTTTGACAGTGAGGTAGATATTAACAGTGTTTACAGTGTGCGTATTTTTTTCCATTTGGCAATCACTGATGAGCATTGGCATTTATTGCTCATACCCTTACATTATGCTTTCCTTATCCAGCATCCTGGTAATTCAAATTTGTTGCTATTTATACTAAAGTGTATGTTTTAAGTAGTTAAGATAAGGTCTGTACCTGATGTGTCCTGCCACAGTTACGGAAGTGTCAAGGCTTATTTGATGCTAGCCCCATGAGAGGATGATGTGGCATTTGATGAACTTAGTCTCTAGCCCTATTAAGATTCTTTTTTTGCAAAAGTACTGCTAAACTTTAAACACTGTAAAGTTCTCAGGTTTTAGGAATATAATTGTATTTTACGCTTTAGACCTCTCCCCCCCTTTCTTCTTTACCTCTCTTATTTTCGTCAGTCCTTTCTTTTGTTCGTCTCACTTTCTCTTTCTACTCTTCTTCTACCTCCCTTTTTAAACACTTCTTTTATCTTGAAATGCTTCAAATTATTATTTCCCCTCTCTGTCGCCAGCCATGGAACATGAGATGGAGAAACTTGCTTTGATTTTAGAATTTTACTAGATGCTCCTTAAGCTCCTGGATTCTGCCCATTGGTGCCTTTAGGGAAATATCCTATTTGCTATTGGTTCTTGGTATGCTGGCTTGACCTTCAATCCGTGGAAAGGACAGGAATGACTTCTGATTTGATTTCTACACCATTACACCTTGTTTGAATCTATAAGCGACAGTGTGACCACTTGAGGGAAGCTTTACTTCCGTTGTGGTTTCTAAATGCAGTGAAATTTCCCTTCAAAAACCTTTTGAAGCATCTTAATATTTTATGGGTGATGCTGGATTGCCTTGAACACTCTTATCAAAGTTTGACTGCCAAACCATTATGTTTGGATGGTTGATCAAGCTGCTTGAACTGTGCTCATAGTACAGGTTCAGAACAAGACTTGGACACCACATCCCCACCTAGACTGTTTCCATTCTTTTAAAATGTCATATTGGCGTGCTCATGTTGCGTTAGTGTATCTGTGTTGTGTTGGCTCTCAGTGTCCATGTCTGCATTACTTGGTAGATGATAGTGTGCACCTGCAAGTTAGGACTTGAATGTTCTGTCTAAGTTCAATGACTGTTGGTAAAGTTTGAATGTGCTAGATTTCGAACTTTCACTAGTTTGTCTAATCTAATTCATCGCTGCTTTGATTCCTGAATAAACATTTATTTTGATGCAGTGTATGTTGGAACTTCTAAAGAAGGTAGTGCGGTAATGGATGAGGCACAGAAGCTGATTTCTGATGGACTAGAAGGCCGATTACTATCTGTCCTCGAAAATCTTTTGTCGTCCTGTCATCCAGATCACATGGTAAGTTCATTGGTTCAGTGATTTGAGTTCATATGCTCTGCACTTGTCACATACGTTTGTGTGCATTAGACATATTGACAAGATAAGTGGCTTTTGAGGGTGCTAAAGGAGACAACTTGTACAAGAGAGTTGTGATGGATAAGCTTTGCTATTCAATGAGTGAACTTCTAACAAGGCTAGCTAGTGGTCAGTGTGAAATTGGTTAATGGAAAATATAATGAATGGTTAAGTTGATTCTTGCAAAGTATTGAACACTCTGTTTGATTTGGAATTTTCAAAAATAGTTTTCTAAGTTTTTAATTTGTATTTTTTGTTTTTGTGAATTTTTTAAAATGTTTTAATCAAAATTTTTTTTTTTAAAAATTTTTAGATCCACTTAATCTAGATACACTTAAAAAGTATAAAATTTGTACTAAATTTTTTCAAACATTCATTGAACACAAAAAAATATAAAACTAAATTAAATAAATCTAAAAAGTTTGATTAAAATGTTAAAAAAATCACTAAAAATAAAAAAAAAATATAGATTACAAATTCAGAAAACTAATTTTGAAAAATCTAAACCAAACAGAGTGTAAGTTTTTGCAGGGATTAGAGCCTGCATTTTTGGCTTAACTTAGTGTGGTGGAAACAATTTCTAGTTTTAGTTTTTTATTTTATTTTAAAAATTTTCTGTCTTTAACTAAAAATAAGACGGTATCTGTCGAAATTACCTGTTGTTGTTTTTCTGAACTATCAAGCACTATTTCAAAGGTCTCAACTATTTTAAACAGAAGTTTTCACCTTTAAGTATTATAAACATAAATGTGAAGTGGCAAGGTGGAAACAATATGACACAACAGAACTGATTGGTTGGCTAACTTCTGTGGTTCCTTTGGTAACTTCTCTTTGACTACCTATCTCTATGATCTGGAGCGTTGTGATGAAGAAGATCCACAACTTTAGAGGCTTGGTTATATAGGCTTCGATTTAGTATTTATTGAAGGAGAAGATATTGGGCATTATATAGATTCAAGTGGATGATCAATATATATATTAATTTTTAATATAGGATCTGATTTTGGGTTATTTATTTGTGTTGTGAATCTGTTAGACCATGAGTAGAGTCACTGGTACCAGTGTAGTTATGCTTTATTACTTAAGGTTTAATCGACAGGCAAACATTGGTGCTCATACTTGATAATAATTATGTTTGCATGCAAAAGGAATCAATAAATTCAGTAGGATATTGTAATTAACATGGATTTTTTGCAGCAGCCTTCTGAAACTTTTAAAACTTAAATTATATTAATTATACAGTACCTAGAGTCGAATTGAAACAAGATATGACTCGAGTATATCTGAATTATATTTCACAAAAACACTCTCCATGGCCATCTAGGTGATCACTCTTGCTTTCCAACAAACTTGCTTCCAGAGTGGGTAGGGAGAGTCATCTCTCCACTTTTGTTCACTCAAATTCATACAAGCATCTCCTTTTCTATGGAGGTTAGTATAAATTTCCTTGTTGGACAAGGACAAAAAGTCAATAATGTATTTCCGATCAGGGACTCTTGAAATGAAATCTGATGTAATTGAAATTGATGAAATATTCTGGTGTAAAGGAAATGATTGTCTTGGAACCCAAAAAAAAAAAAAAAAAAAAGGAGAAAAAAAAACAGGACGACTTATCTTATTTTAGTCTCAAGGTACTCTAGGAATTTTGTTTAAGTCTAGAGCTGAGTCAGTTTAATGGATTATTTTTCCTATTGGCCATTCATAATAACTTGGGTCTAAGTCATTTTCTCTATTAAGGTTACCTGACGGTGAAGTTATTTGCGGGTGAAGAAATTAGTTAGTATTCAAAGACAGTTACTTGGAGGCTAATTGCTTCAAGGCCAAATTTCATTAAAATTATTCATATACAGCTCATGTGATGAAGATTTTTGAAAATTTTGGCGAGAACAAAAATTCAGATGATGTTTGTCTTTTTATTTCACATATTATCCGTTCCTGGGTTTTTTTTGGAGCCCATGGCCCATGGTTTCAAGCGTAGCTTTCTGACTGAAATCAGTTTGTTTTGGGTGTTTTTGGCCTTGATCTGAGTTTGTTACACATTCAGTTATGGTTGATGGAGTCTCTATTTAATACATCAGGACCAAAAGGACAATGGGAACTTATGACAAAATCCCAACATCCTGCAGGGCCTTGTCAGTTCTTTGGCGATGTTGTCAGATCTTTCAGGCTTCACTATCTGATTGGTGTCTTCAGAAGCACAGTCAATACTGTAGACTAGGTTGGTTTTGGCTGGTATAAGTGCAACTTCCTCTTATTGGTTTATTACTATTCATATGTCTGTTAAGTACTTAGTCTCTTGCACAGCATCTCTGAAGGTTGAAGGAAGGGAATGATTGTGGCAGTTTTTAAAAGGCATGCCTAAGCGCGAGCTTAGGCGTGAGGCGCACCTGAGGCGCCTCAGACAGCTTGAGGTGAGGCGCTATAGGAAAGGCGCATTTGAGGTGCTTGAGGCGTGCGCCATAGAGGCTTAGGCGCGAGGCGCACATGCGCTTCATTTAAAATTTTGCTCCATCCTTATTCTTTGTGTGTGTAACCATATGAAATTACAACCCCTTTAATATAAAATGTAATCACATGCTTTGAGCTCCAATTTTCATATCAAAAAAAGCTCTAGGCATTAAGCGAAAGTTCTAGGATTGCAAGATGGATATATGGCTTTGGGATCCCTTTCAATGTAGTAAATTACAACAGTTTTGGGCCAATGATTGAAGGTATTGTTGGCATATTATAATCACCGAAAGTCTTAGTATTTTATTAGCCGAAAGGCACTTGGGTCTGTAATCATTGTGATGCCCTCAGGGATCATCTTGTAATTGTCTTGTTTGTAAACCCTAATCTTCATGTATAAATAAGGGGTGATATCTCATCATACCCTAAGCTGATTATTCAAAGCTTCAGGTATTAGGCAATTTGGTCCCAATTTAAAATTAAAACCACTAAGGTATTATATGACGTGAGTTCCTTGCCCAAAAAAAAGAAATAAATCACGTTAATAAATTGATAAAGAAAGATAAATAGTATAGGGCAAAGTAAGATTGAATGTTATCTTTGAGAAATTTTTGAAACGTTAAATTTTTCATGATTTTTGGAATATTGAATGTTGTTCTATTTTTTTTAAATTTTTTTTTTTTGAAATTCTAAGAATATTTGTTTTATGTTAAAAACTTTGCCTATATTAATATTTTGGTTATCTTCAACAACTTGCGCCTCACCTTGCGTCTCACGCTTAAGCTCCAAAAGACCTTAGCACCTCAATGCGCCTGGAACTTTTTAAAACACTGGTTTGCGGTAGCTACACAACCAGGTGACATATAAGAAGGGTTGGAATACATTGCTTCCAGTGTAGTTAAATGACCCCATTGAATTCAAAATAAAAATTAGGTCTATCTATATTCTGAAAAATTAGGTATTTATATAATTTCACCCCACTAAAATCTTTTGGAAATAATGTAGAATGTTGTTGTTTTCTAATGAAGAGTTATTCTGAATATGATTAATAGTTGCATAATGCTTTGCGTGCCACAATATGGAGATGAGTATGTCTATGTGTGTATGCGTATATACACATTTATATTTATAAACATAATAATGCTTTGCATGCCACCGATAACATTCTGTAACATATGCTTTCTTTTGAAGGAAAAAGGTAATGTCTGATTGTTTTATATGCTGTTGCCATCCATTCGGTCCTCGTCTATTCATTTATTTATTTATTTTTTACTTCTGCATTTGACCTTTGATTTGTATTATGTGAGGTGTCCCTTGCAGGATGTTGACCTTTTTACTTTGTGGGCTGAGGAGACACTAATTGAGGATAATCTAATCCTTGACATTCTTTTCCTTGCTTACTATGAGTCCTATTGTACTTGTAATGGCAAACAATGGAAAAAGTTATGCTCACTTTATGAGGTATGGTGTTATCCTTCTGCTGGTATTGGTTTTTGTGACCTTTCTTATCCTAATCCTTGCTTAAGAGCACGTAATGCAGGGGATCGTATTGGGCTCTTCTAACTTTGGGAGGCTGGCAATATCAACTGAAGCACTGCAATCCATTTATCATGCTAAAGTTCAGTTGCTACTTATTCTTATAGAAACGTTGGATCTGGAAAATCTTCTCCAAATGATCCATGACGAAATGCCATTCAGGTTTTAGCAACTTGTTAGTTTCCTTTCTTTTTTATTTTTGTTAAGATATTACTGTTACATGAGTTATTTGGTCATGGACAAATATCTTAAAGAACTTTAGTACAAAATGTTTATACTAGAGGCCCATTGTGTAAGATACATATCATTCACCCTCACATCCCCATTTTATTGACGAAAGATCTCAACACTAGTGTTAAGGCTCATGCATAAAGTTATCAACTATCTGCTTTGCTTTGTGTGGCATATTGAGCAAGTTTACCATTGCTTGAATCATTCCATAAATTTGCATCCTGATTTTTTGAAATTAAATAGAGAAGTATGAGCTGATGAGGTCTACTAGGAAGCAAGAAGAGTAACACTTGTCTCAAATGGAAGCCAATGGCCTGATGATTATTCTGAATAATTCTTGTTCTTTGCCCCAGTTATGCCAAGTAATTGTCAGCTTCCCTGCACTGTATATAATATTACCTCTAGTCTTTTAAAAATCAAGGAAAAGGCAATCCCCAGGTGGTGACCAAATCAATGCCTATTATCCTACAATGGGTTGATTAAATGCTGGAGGACAATGGAGAAACCACAGCGTTGTCCTCATTTAAAACTTGCTTTTAATATTTGGAGAAATAGTTTACATCCATAATTTTTGAATCAGATATTTATTTGTTTCTTTCCTTTTTTGAGGATGCCATATTTTTTTGGATTTTTTAATTTTTAATGTGCTTTCTATAATTATTATTTTTGCTCAGGCAAGGTTCTACTGCTCTTTCTTTGAGCGACATTCAAGAAATAGACGCAATAATATCTAGTTTCAGTGCTTTTGAAGCAAAAGATTCAGGCCCACTAATTCTATCATGGGCAGTATTTCTTTGTCTCCTTTCATCTCTTCCAGGAAAACAGGAAAATAACGTGCTAATGGTATATTGCTTTGTTAGAATGTTGCTTCCTATTTTGTCTTACGTACTCCAAAAATTTGGTCTTATTTTTTATTTTAATTTCTATTCTATATTTCAGGACATTGATCATGTTGGCTATGTACGTCAAGCATTTGAGGCTGCAGCTTTGAGTTATTTTCTTGAAATTCTTCGAAGTGACATATTGAAGCATTCAGATGTGAGTTTCTCAGTTGACAGTTATGAGTGTATTTAAGATCCCTGGTCACCTGTGCCACCTAATGTTACATGTGTAATTAGTAGTGTATCCTTCTGCTTATATTAATGGTTGTATTGTATTTATGCTTTGATATCCAATCTACTCCTCCAAGACCCCCCATCAAATTGGGACTAAACTGGGTGGAGTTTTATTCCGTTGTTACATATTGATGTTCTTTTCTTTAATTGTGCAAATGATCTTTGCCAGGGTCCTATTGCTGGTTATAGAAGTGTTTTGAGAACATTTATCTCAGCATTTATTGCATCTTATGAGATCAGTCTTCAGGTAATTTTATTACTCCCTCCGTCCCATTTTCTTTGTCCACCTTTTCATTTTGGTCCGTCCCAAAATATTTGTCCACTTTCTATTTTGGGTATTGAAATTTTTTAGATTTCCAAAATTACCCATTATACACAAATATAAACACATTTTAAAATTCAAAATCAAAGGGTATTATGGTAAAAGTATTTTAAATTTTGAATTGATGTGTAATGATTGCTTGTCTCCTTAATAAGTTGGATTTCTCAAAATGGACAAATAAATTGACACGAAGGGAGTAATCATTTTTGTAAAGGATTTATAGAAGTGTCTTGAGAACATATTGGCATTTTATTCCTTCTTTTTTTTTTTTCCTTTTTGCATTGCAGTTGGAGGATAATACCCTTAAATTAATACTGGATATCCTTTGCAAAATTTATCGAAAAGAGGTTTGGATGTAAAATCTCATTTTTATGATATTGATTGATGTATACTTTATTTGACATTATAGTTTGTTTATTTGAGGCATGACCATGAATGATGCAGGAGTCACTTTGTATTCAGTTTTGGGATAGGGACAGTTTCATTGATGGTCCCATACGTTGTCTTCTTTGCAACTTAGAGGGTGAATTCCCATTCAGGACTATGGAATTTGCACGCTTATTATCAGCCCTCTGTGAAGGAACTTGGCCTGCAGAATGCGTGTAAGCTGTTCTTGTGCTTTTCTTGGTCATCATCTAGGCTTCATGTGTGTCACTTTTCCTTGTGCCAAATGAATCGTTATTTGACAGTGAGGGGAATATTGAACTTGTAAATTTGTATGGGTTAATGATTGATTGTAGCGATTTTGGTTTGCATGACTATTTGCTGTTTCTAAAAGCAATTTAAGGAGCCATACAATGAGTATCGGAATGGAGTTTCTGTACTTGGCTCAGTGAAACCTCTAAACTGTTAGGATCATCACCTACTTTCATCCTTGGTAAATGTTTATCGGGACAGTTTCAATTTTTTTAAAAAAGAAAGTATTTTGCATGTATCTATTTCAATTGACAAAGTGGCACTCAAAATATTTTAGAGCTCTGAAAGATTACTTCTCATTTAAGAAAATTTTCATGATTCATGGTTGTTAGAATCGTGCAATTCATGATTCAATTCATATGATTCGATATGAGTTTCAACCAACACGATTCAAGTTGTGTTGTTGAATTGGAAATTGAATGTGAATTGTGCGATTCACTGTGATTCACTGTATTCAGTTCACTTCAGTTCTGTTTTTGTTTGCATAATGCATGAAGTGATGCTGTTTTCGCCTCTCTATCAATAAATAAAAAGAGTTAAATAAGTTGTGTAGATATATGTGATTTTGTATGTATATATATACAACTTAGTATATTCATATTTATTCCATTTTAAATACGATGTGTGTAGTTTTATATATATATACATATATAATTGTATAGTATATTCTATAAAGTGAATCTTACGATTCACAAATCGATTCACGATTCAACAACGATGTCGATGAATACATAGCCACCTTGGATTGTTGAAGTCGTACGACTGCGTCCTGCAGCCACCTTGGAATGTTGAAGTAACACATCTGCTTCCTGCTAGTAATTGTATGTTACATGTGGGCAAATTCTTTTTGACTGCATCACTGAATTTATATTCAGTCCTTGTCTTTCTTTGTTAAATAAATGAAAATAGTCCAAACTGTTTTTGTTCTGTGCTAATTGTGTAAGAAAAAATTGATGTATATTATTGATTGATTGTATTTGTGTAGATATTACAATTACAAGGATTCCTATTATATAGGAGTGTGTTTGGGAGTAGGTGGAGAGTAGGTGAAGTGGAGGTGGTAGTGGTGTAGTGGGTTAGGTTTAGTGGAGTAGGTGAGGTGGTAGTGGTGGTAGGTTTATGGTAAATTCTAACAAATTGTATATGTCATCAATGTCTTGGCTTTTGTAAATTTTGTGGAGGACGTGATTAGTTAGGTTGCTGGGCCCGATGTGGGTGTTTATCTTTTTGTATTCTTTGCATCGTCTTGATGCTTTTCTAATAAAGTTTGTTCATGTACCCCCCCCCCCCCCAAAAAAAAAAAATAAAAAAAAATAAATAAATAAAATTGTATATTTCATAATGAGTAAATTAGAAATTAACCAAATTCCCATAGTCATTTGTTTTTTCTCGTTACTGAATCTGATATGCAGTATAACTCTTTAGTTGCTAACACTTGTGTGTTGCAGTATGCCAAAACCAATTTAGCACAGAGGTTAAAAAAAAGTCCAAGTAATGCATCTAGGAGGGTTAGGGTTTGGGTATAATTCTTACTGTTTGTGAAAGGGGGAAAAAAAGAAAGAACAAAAGAAGATAATGGATCAGACTGTAAATCAGAACCAGTGTTCAAGCCACAATGCCTAAAACCTTTAATTCGAAATCTTTTGCCAAACCATTTTCTTGAGAAATATATGAAATGGGCTTTTTATATGATCTTATTTTTCAACAATATCTTATTCAGTTGATATGTTTTTTAACCTGTCAACAGGTACAATTTTCTTGATAAGTCTGTTGGTATATCATCTTTGTTTGAGATAAGCAATGATTCCTTGATTGATGAAGTTTCTCAGATTGTTGAAACCCGCCTGCCTTTGTACATACCTGGGGTTGAAGGTTTGCTAATTCCTAGTAATACTCGCGGTCATATTTTGAAAGTGGTTGATGGGAATACTGCCCTTATACGGTGGGAGGTAAATGGACAATCATTCCTTTTTTCCCCCCCACCTCCTTTATGTTTTGACCTTATAGTCTCATTTCGTTGTTCTCATCTTTTTATGGCAGTAAATTAATTTTTCTACTTTTGGCTTTTAACTATGCTTGAGTGCATTTGTTGCAAATGCACCGTATCTTTTGATGTTAGCAACTGGTACTGTGTTAGTCTTTTCCTGTTTTTTCACCCTTCCCATTCTTTTAATCTGTGGATTAATGCATTTGGTGTTGTTGGGTGGAATGCTCTCGTACGAAGGTTAATATATCTGTTCAAATATCAAGGAAATAAATGTGCAAGTAACAGTGGTGGAGGGCCTCTGAAAAAGTAAACGAAGTTGGTTATAGGATTAGGATTGCAAGTAACAAAAATGTCTTTTTACAAGTAACATTAATAGTCTTAGGATTGCAATTTATTCCTAACTTAAAAACCACATGAGGCCATTTTTCCTTTTTTTATTTTTTTGTTATTATATACGTCAAGGAGGTGAAGTGGAAAAACCCAAACCACTTGGTGGTAAAATGTTTACCTAAATTGTTATACTCTGTAACGAAATTTTTATAGCTTCCTTCGTATTGTGTATCTGATAGTTGCCAGTTTGCACTTTTTTTTACTCCTTTGGGATACTTGCACTGCTTATTAAATTTTATGTATTCGTTGTATGTATGTAAGTATCTCAATGTTGTTGATAGCTACTGGAATAACTCTTTGTTGAGATAATTTGATTGAGTGCTATGACTGGCATATTCCAATAGATGATGAACCTGTGTTTTTTGTGGACATGGTGCAACTTCTTCTATCCTGTGTAAATCTAGTGTCCAGACATCAACTTTTTGACTAATTCACTTTTGTGTTGATGTGTCCATCACACTTGTGCAGTACACACAATCTGGAGTGCTTCTGTTGCTCTTGCGTTTGGCCCAGGAGCTGTATTTGAATAGCACTGAGGAAGTACTTGTCACTCTAGACTTGCTTAGTCGATTGGTATCCTTCAACACGGTAATCATTTCTGGGTAATCCCTCTTTGCATTTTTGTGCGCTGAGGGTGATTAATGGTGGCTGATCAATAAGTCATGCTCCTATTGTTTCTTTTGCATTGATAAATGAGATGAAAAATCTTTGAGTTCTTAAGTTACAGATTGCCGTGTAGTTTGATGATTTCTCTTGTCAAATAATGCTTATTGATGCATTGGTTAATTATTTAATTTTGTTATTATGTTCATTACAAATTAGGCTATGCATGAGTGCCTGTTTGGAGCAATCAATTGTGAGACAGTGCAATGTGAAAATGCATTTAACATAGTGGGGTTAGGGGGAGGTCGTGTTGCTGGTGGGGTTTTCTTATATGTCTTGTGACTAGATCAAACGGTGTTCTTGTAGTTTGATTAATTATTTTGGTTAATCAAATTAATTGAAGAGTTAATATAATCAATCGACAGGATAAGTGCTAGAGTCTTCGTGTTATTTTAGGTACAATGTTAATTACTTCAAATCATCAAAAAGCAACCATAAAAGCTATGGTAATGGTTGGTTGGCCCGTTTTTCCCATTTCTTTGATTCACTAATAGGAAAATAAGTAAAATCTCGTAGTCAATTGCATAGCATGATAATATAATTTGAAACTGGACCTAATGCAACTTTACAAACAATGGCTGACCAGTTTAGATTTCAAGTAAAAGTTTGGTTTTTAGTCAAAAACCCACTACAAGTTGTCACATCACTTTCTCTACTTTTTCTGCACATCTTTTCGTAAAAACCAAAAAGACAACTAAAATAGCCAATTCCCAAACGGGTAATAAATATCCTGATGATATTTGAACCATTACCCTCGGGGTATCCATGTTGCTCTCTGCACCAAAAATAATTAGGTTAATCAGGCAAAAGCCACGCCAGAAATGAGGTCATTAATCCAGCAAGTCCCTTGCACAGAACAACAGGATTTGAACCTCAAGGTTAGGAGCCCTGCGAGATAAAAGCCAAGTATGACCTGTTTCTTTTCCTAATGTTCAAACAGAAAGCACCAGAGGGCCTGCCAACCTCCTCCCTCCTTTGTTCCCAGCCTCCCTATGACCAATCTGGTAAACCTTTGGATTCATACAAATAACGTAGTGAAGGCCACAATACCCATGCAATCAAAAACCTATATAAATAGAAATTGATGCAAAACAATATGATGATACATAGTTGTCAAATCATGAATCAAATCGTGAATTGAAATGGCTTTGTACTGAATCGCAAATCAAATCGAATCGTGAATCGTAAAGATTCGTTCACATATTCTAAATTACTCAAAATAATATATCTATATATTTGGATGTTAAATATATCTTACAAATATAAAATATTAAAACAATGAATATGTTATTTTGAATGATGATCACATAGTCTAATAGATAAGAAATTAACATAGGTTCCCATGTAAGATCACTATCTTACCTTTTTCTTTTTTAGATATTGTTTATCAACAATTCTTAATAAAGAATGTGAACAAAGACAAACTCCCAATTTTCAAATAACAATAACTTAACAATGATGTTGATATTTCATAAGCATACATACTTTTACAAGTAACAATGACTCAACAATAAGAAAGAATTAATTATAATATGTTTTAAAACCCAAAGCATTTTAAAAGGTATATGTGCTTATTGTTCAAAAAAGAACTTACAGAGCCATTAGGTTTAACTGACTTTACCCATGTAATATTGAAATATATTTATTTTAATAAAATAGCAACAGATATTTCATCCTACAAGTTACTTTAACCTTAAACATTGTTAGAATATACATTATGATTTTTTTTCAAGAAAAAAAAATGAAAAGAAAATGTCAAAAATATGTTGGGTCTGACTGAACCTAATTAGATCCTATTGAAAACTCCTTGATATCCAAAATAACAGCAAATCATGTATATATATTGGTTATTTTCGTACTAAACACTATTACAAGTTGTGTTATGTCATTTTAACTACAAAAAATGGAGAATTTTTTTTTTAAAAAATATGTCAAACATGATAGTTTCAAAAATTGCATTAATCGAATCATGAATCGATTGTGAATCGTGCAATGATTGTGAATCGTGCGATTTACTAGAGACTTGCTTTCAAATTAGATTCACCCACAGATTCGTATCGATTTTGCAATAATTGCAAATTGAATCGTGAATCCAATCACAAATCGTAAGATTCTTGTAACATGGTGATAGAATAGTGTAATTGAGAACTAGCAGCCAGATAGACAGGAATTCAGTTGCAACATTTATCAGATGGCAATAGAAAAATAGAAAAACCAGAAACTGATTTTCAATTTTCAGCTGCAACATCATTTCAAGTGGTTTAGGTTCTTGCATAAAATTTTACACAACCAACATTTCAAATTCTTCCCCATAAAGCATAAAGTAGAAGCAACTTCATCTGGATTAGAAGATGCAAGCTAAAACCCATATAAATATCAGTCCATATTAAATAATGTCTTAAAAATAAACAAAAATAACTAAAAGAAAAAAATTAAAATGTCCAATAGTGGGGTCAAACAAGCAAGTCTCACTAGGTTTCCAAAATCATGTACGTCCCAAATGTGATTCACCAATCAAGTATATGCGACATGACATGTTAAGGATGGTCAGTTATTTCAAATATGCACGACTCACGACAGTGACCAAGTGCGCGAGGCTCCTGCTAAAGCCAAATATGGGGAGAGCAAGATGTATGCAGCCTTACCCCCATTACTGGAGCTTTTGTTTCCATAATTACTATATATACGTAGTTTGAAAAAATTATGACCTAAAAACAAGCTGTGAAAAGAAGATTTGCAATTTAGCAAAGCTAAAATTTCACAAAATGGGGGTGGTGCAAATGCAGATGTTGGCAAGTGTGGATGATGGTGTCTAGGATCGTTGGGACAAGATGATCTAGGAAGATGAGAGGCACTCAGCTGGCAAGGGACTGCCAGAGGCGGAGGAGAGAGTTAAGGGCAGCCCTAAGAGAGACAAAGAGATCACAGTGGAGAGAGAGCCTTGTGATTTTTTCGGGGAGAGGAATAAACAATTGTCTTCCATGCATGGGTAGGATCCCTTTTATAAGGACATCTCTTGACCTGAGGGATCAGCTTTCCTGGAGATCTTCTGTTCCTTATGTTAGATCACCGATTCTTCAAAAAGCTTTAGTTGTTAGGAAATTGGTCCAACAATGTATATCAAGCTATCCAATGCTCTCCCTCAAGTGCAAACCTGTGTTGCATGTGGAGAGACAAACAAGGAACCAAACATAAAGAAAACCGCACAACCAAACGAAGAAGAATTCTTGGTCATCATCTCTCTCTTTATGGCTGGTCAAGGGGGTACCAATAGGGACATCATGATGGATCACTTGAGCTGGAGATCGTAATGCTCCTGGAAAGGCATATGTTTGGTTCCACCCTGGGCTCTCTAATATTACTCTCATTGAATGTGACTACCCACTCCAAAGGGGAACTCAAGCAAACTTAACAATCTATTGACTCTAGCCTCTAAGACACAATCCTCCAATGATCTTGTGTGTAGATCCTAAACCCTACCCCCAACCTAGGCGACTTGTTTTGAGGAAGTGTTAGGATTTTTTTATTTTTTTTAATTAGAAGGGAGTGTTAGGCTGACTGGCATAAGGTACACCAAGTGATCTCCTTGGAGAAATCGTGGAGATCATTAACCAATTGGAGATCGGCTAATGGTGATTACTGCCTTGAGGAGATCTTGGCTGAGCCAAAGTAAGGCGATATGGGGGAGCGATTTGGAAAAGGAAGATCTGGTGGGGCGATCTGGAAAGGGTGATCCAGAGAAGATTGTCGCAAGAAATCTAGACACACATGTACTTACAACTAGGAATGAATGGAAATTATTAGTGATAATATTTGTTACATAGCAACATGGGGGACAGCATGAGAGGGAACTCGTTAAGATGGAAAATTGTCATGATCCTTGTTAGTGTCATCTAGAATGCTAACCATTTTATTGGAGATCGACTAATGGTGATTGCTCCCTTGGGGAGATTTTGGCTGTGCCCAAGTAAGGCTATTTGGGGGAGCGATTTGGAAAGGAAGCTCCAGAGGGGGCGATCTAGAAAGGGTGATCTAGAGAAGGTTGTCACAAGAAATTCAGACACACATGTACCCACAACTAGGAATGAAGGGAAATTATTAGTGATAGTATTTGTTAGAAGTCAGACATAGCAACATGGGGGACAACATGAGAGGGAACTCTTTAAGATGGAAAATTGACATGATCCTTATTAGTGTCATTTAGAATGCTAACCATTGTGTGATGAATTTTGGGAAAACGGTTTACCACAAAAAATGGTATATAAATTGATCATAGAACTTTGAATAAATATGAATTTGAATGTGAAACAAAATTTTTGTGCATTGCATTTGGAAAAGAAATTTTTTTCTTTGATGTTAGAAACCATATATGTTCTTTCTTTAGCACCATTCAAATGTATGAGACATCGTATGAACAAAATAAAAAACTATATTATGCTTTTGCGTTCTGGCTTGGCTCTCTCTGTCGTTTTCTTGAATGTGTGCGCCACTGTGTCCTGTTGTATTCATGTCTATGCCACATCTATTTGCCACTTTTGTTCTCAGTTGATACTTTTTTCAGTATATCTTCTCCTGGCATGCCATACTGTAGAAAATTTAATGTATAAAGAGAAATAGAGAATTGTATTATTGATTGATGTATTGATATATTACAATTACAAGGATTCCTATTATATAGGAGTGTGTTTGGGAGTAGGTGGAGAGTAGGTGAAGTGGAGGTGGTAGTGGTGTAGTGGGTTAGGTTTAGTGGAGTAGGTGAGGTGGTAGTGGTGGTAGGTTTATGGTAAATTCTAACAGTTTTCCATTGTAGTAAATAAGAATCACCCTGATTACATAACTAAACTACAAAAACAACTATTCAAAGTGGAACCAGTTGACAATGTGATATATCTAAAATGTATAAAACATTGCAAATATCATTAAAAATAAAACATATAATAAAATGCATCCACTGCACAATTTAACAAATATTTATGAAACAAGTTTACTGTTTGTAAACTAGGATATTGTTCAGAGCCGCATACACAGCCGACGTTGCTAATCTACAATATCCCCAAAAAATTCAGAACCACTACAGGAGCAACTTAACATCTTTACTCACCACAAAACAATAAATATTTGTTAGGTGGATATTTATTGTTTTGACTGGACTTTTACTCACCACAAAAATTCAGACCAGCCGACACCCATCCTAGGGTTTTTCCGCTCAACCGACACCCATCTGGGTATCTTCAGGCTTCTTCCATGGTCTGGTAGGTGCTTTGGACTTCCCTTTGGCCTTCTCCTGTGTGTTTCGAACTCTCTGTGATAACATCTAAGTGTTTCTCCACATCATATGTCCTGATAACAACCTTTTCCTTTCCCTTTTCCAAATCCCTAGCAAATCCATGATCCAAACACAACCGATCAAAATAGTAGAAATTCCTACATCCCATTCAAGCAATAGGTGGATGTTGAAGAACTTCCTAATGTTGCTCTGGCTAAGGAACAACCCATAACCTTTTCTTTTTCATTTTTTTTTTTTCTTTTGATTAGCAAGCATTGAGCAGCACCAAACATATGCCCACCACATTCTGAGCACCTTTTATCTTGCAAGTTCCAACTGCATAATCATAACACTTGCAACTAAAATAAAGGGCAAGAATAATTTACTGCTACATTAGGCATCCAAAAACAGGCAGATGCCAGAAGTTTTGAAGCATTCTATGCCCTTTCCTTTCTTTGCGTCTTATGAATAAGTCTCACAGAGTGACTAGAATCACATCAGAAGTAATTCTCTGTGATCCTCAAAAAAAAGGGTAAAAAGGAAAAAAAAAAAAAAAAAAAAAAGTCTTCTAGATAAAAAAAAAAAACATCACATAATTCCCGAAAACAATAATCTAAACCAACAAATAGAATTTTTTATTATTATCATTAACTCTATTTTATTGTGCGACTGTTACATAATAACTACCAAGCCCTAGACCTTGATGATGTGGTTTTTAAATTCAATCTGATTATTTTAATGGTGTGACCTAATTTGATAATCTAATATGAGCAAACTCTGTGTGTCAAAATTTAGGTTACATATCCTTGAAAAGTTGAAAATGGCCTGTGGAGAGAATATTGGTGAACTTAAAAGTTGCACCAAATGGACCATAGTTAATAGAAATGTTTGGTTTCTAACTGAATCGTTTAACCGACTAGGGTGATTATCAAAGGTGGTTAAAAGTTTGGCATTGAGAGTTTATTTGAAAATTGACTAGAACAAAAATAGTTTTTTGATTTATTTTTTTATTTTAAATATATAATTTTTATTTAAATTTTTTTATTTTAAATATTCTATTTTATTTTGTAAATATTTTAGTTTTTTTAATATTTTAAACTCAAAACACAACTCTATGCTCAAATCGTAACCAAACCTATAATTCAAAACTCAATTCAACAATTATTTTCAAAGTTCATAACCAAACATATAACTCGAACTCCATACTACTTTCAAAACTCCACACTCAAATTATAACCAAACACATAACAGAAAAATTAAAATATTTAAAAATATATTTATAAAATAAAATAAAATATTTAAAATAAAAAATTAATTTTTAAATTTTTTTTAGTATTTAAAATATTTAAAATAAAATGCAACACACAAATGTATAAAATATAGTGTATATTAAAATAAATAAATATTTAAAATATAAAATATATACCCTAAAAAAATTTAAGATTTTTTAAAAATATTTAAAAAATTAAATCCAAAAAATTTCAAAATAGAACTCAAAACTTAAAATACAATTCAAAACTCTTTTCAAAACTCATAACCAAACAAATTTTCTATTTTCAAAACTAAACGCAAAACTTAAAACTCAAAATACAACTCTACACTCAAATCATGATTCTAAAAATAATTTTAAAAAACAAAATAAAAAATATTTTTATTATTTTTTTTTTAATTTTTAAAATAGAGTTTTGGAAAGAGTTTGATTTTGAGTTTTGAAAAGAGTATTAAAAATAGAGTTTTGGAAAGAGTTTGATTTTGAGTTTTGAAAAGAGTTTTGAGTTGTGTGTTTGGTTATGAGTTTTGAAAATTATTTTTGAATTGAGTTTTGAGTTGTATGTTTGGTTATGAGTTTTAAATTTTTTTGATTGGAATCACAATTTGAAAACACAACCAAACGCTACCTTTGTTTTTGCCTACTTGTTGTGTGCATGGAATTTCTCATTCTTGGTATGGCGCATTGTTTTAGGTAAAAGTTTTAGGCTGCATCTGTTTTTGGAAAGGGTTTTTCAGTTATTGTGGGATTGTAACTGCAGTTCGGATATGTTATCTATTGAAGGGTGTCAGCATGTGGTCTGACTTACTATAGTATATCATGTGTGATTTTATTTTTCTATTTGTTTTTATGTGATGATTCCAGTGGATCATGGTTACTTCCTGGAAGACTAGCAAATATGCTTCTGATTGACTGTGAAAACAATGACAGCTGCTGCCCATTAACTCTTTCAGGCATGTCGTTTTATTATTCTAATATTTTCTTGATGATTTGTGTTTTTGTGTGTGCATGCGTGCGTGTGCACACGCTTGTTCTCTTTCTATCCCTATCTTCTATTTATATCTGATTCCAATAATCTATGAAACAAAATCTGTGTATCTATTGGCACTCCACAAATTCAGAGAAAGTTTCATGCCATATCTAGGAGCATTCTATGACAAACAAGGGGTGTTTTTAATGGGCTGGTTGGAAATTATTTGGGACATGTGAAGAAAAGATATGTTGACTTCAAGTTTGGGACACGGAGTAATACTTGTTTAGGCCAGATTTTAGATCTTACCTCATGTGTACACCTGACACCATTTACTTTCAGATAAAAAAATATGTTTATATTGTCAAGGTGGTCTAGCTTTTGGTGTTTTAAGAATTTTAATGTCTTTGACATACTAATTTTAATTGTTCTTGTTAGTATTTATTAGATTCCGGTGATGTGCAGTCATGTTTCTCCAGAGCTGGTTTTACTTGAATATGTGTTATATTGTTTGTAATTTTGCTTTGTGTTTTGACTTGCATGGCTTCAATTCTTCAGTACTGGACTTCACCATGCAGCTTGTCAAGACGGGAGTAGAAAATGATGTCGTCTTGGCTCTTGTTGTGTTTTCCCTTCAGTATGTTTTAGTTAATCATGAGTATTGGAAGTACAAGGTGAAGCATGCTCGCTGGAAGGTGACATTGAAGGTAACGAAAAGTAGAAATATGTTCCCATTTTCCATTTGATTCAACTTTGGGATGGGTATCTAAAATACTATATGGGTAGTTATTTTATTTTTCTGTAGTTATTTTTGTCTATAGACATTAATATCAAAGTGGAGTGAAGCTACAATGGTACATAACACCCAAAGTAAGGGAGCACCATTGGTCAATGCCAAACAGCCTGTGACAGTGCATAAAAAAGTGAGAAATTAAGGCCCTGTTTGGTTTGGGCTCTCAAAACAATTTTTGAGAGCCCAAAATTGAAAGCTCATTTGTTGAACTCTATTCCTAAAACTATTTTCAAATTTTTTCTAAATTCATCTCTATTCCCAAAACTATTTCAAATCAAATTTATCTCTATTACCAAAGTTACATTAATTGAACCAATATGTATGTTGAAGTTTGTGGTACATCATATTTTCAAGTTAGTCAAATTTTTTAGATGAAACTTTGTAAGGAATTATTTGTCAAGTCATATAAAAATTTAAAACCAAAATGAATTTGCATTTCAAAATTAATATATATATATATATATATATTTTTTTTTAAATAGTGAAAAAAATTTGTTAAATTTAAATTCGGACGCCTAGTGTGGAATGAGTAAAATACGGATTGAAACTCAAAAACAATTTTTGAAAAATCAAGAAGTAAAAAATTTGACTAAAATACAAAAAGTACATTTAGATTAGGTGCATCTAAAAAGTAAAAGAAAAATTGACTAAAATACAAAATAAGTTTATTAAAGACAACAAAACACGAAAAAAAAACTCAAAAGTTGTTTTGGATTTTCAATTTTCTAAAAACTATTTTCAAAATATACAACCAAACAAATTTTCAACTTTTATAACTCTTTTCAAAAAGTTTTCACTTAGAGAATATGAGGAAGAAGAACTCCGAAAAATATGAGGAAGAAGGAATATATTTCTGTTATATTCAAAACTTCTTATCTTACAAGACCAAATGACACTCCTTATATAGGAGATATTACAAACATCATCATAACCCATTATATGCCACTTACATATTATATATTACCACAATCTACCACTATCATATTATATACATGCCACTATCTACCACCAACACCACTATCATATTATATACATGCCACCACTCAATGTTGTTGATAGCTACTGGAATAACTCTTTGTTGAGATAATTTGATTGAGTGCTATGACTGGCATATTCCAATAGATGATGAACCTGTGTTTTTTGTGGACATGGTGCAACTTCTTCTATCCTGTGTAAATCTAGTGTCCAGACATCAACTTTTTGACTAATTCACTTTTGTGTTGATGTGTCCATCACACTTGTGCAGTACACACAATCTGGAGTGCTTCTGTTGCTCTTGCGTTTGGCCCAGGAGCTGTATTTGAATAGCACTGAGGAAGTACTTGTCACTCTAGACTTGCTTAGTCGATTGGTATCCTTCAACACGGTAATCATTTCTGGGTAATCCCTCTTTGCATTTTTGTGCGCTGAGGGTGATTAATGGTGGCTGATCAATAAGTCATGCTCCTATTGTTTCTTTTGCATTGATAAATGAGATGAAAAATCTTTGAGTTCTTAAGTTACAGATTGCCGTGTAGTTTGATGATTTCTCTTGTCAAATAATGCTTATTGATGCATTGGTTAATTATTTAATTTTGTTATTATGTTCATTACAAATTAGGCTATGCATGAGTGCCTGTTTGGAGCAATCAATTGTGAGACAGTGCAATGTGAAAATGCATTTAACATATTGGGGTTAGGGGGAGGTCGTGTTGCTGGTGGGGTTTTCTTATATGTCTTGTGACTAGATCAAACGGTGTTCTTGTAGTTTGATTAATTATTTTGGTTAATCAAATTAATTGAAGAGTTAATATAATCAATCGACAGGATAAGTGCTAGAGTCTTCGTGTTATTTTAGGTACAATGTTAATTACTTCAAATCATCAAAAAGCAACCATAAAAGCTATGGTAATGGTTGGTTGGCCCGTTTTTCCCATTTCTTTGATTCACTAATAGGAAAATAAGTAAAATCTCGTAGTCAATTGCATAGCATGATAATATAATTTGAAACTGGACCTAATGCAACTTTACAAACAATGGCTGACCAGTTTAGATTTCAAGTAAAAGTTTGGTTTTTAGTCAAAAACCCACTACAAGTTGTCACATCACTTTCTCTACTTTTTCTGCACATCTTTTCGTAAAAACCAAAAAGACAACTAAAATAGCCAATTCCCAAACGGGTAATAAATATCCTGATGATATTTGAACCATTACCCTCGGGGTATCCATGTTGCTCTCTGCACCAAAAATAATTAGGTTAATCAGGCAAAAGCCACGCCAGAAATGAGGTCATTAATCCAGCAAGTCCCTTGCACAGAACAACAGGATTTGAACCTCAAGGTTAGGAGCCCTGCGAGATAAAAGCCAAGTATGACCTGTTTCTTTTCCTAATGTTCAAACAGAAAGCACCAGAGGGCCTGCCAACCTCCTCCCTCCTTTGTTCCCAGCCTCCCTATGACCAATCTGGTAAACCTTTGGATTCATACAAATAACGTAGTGAAGGCCACAATACCCATGCAATCAAAAACCTATATAAATAGAAATTGATGCAAAACAATATGATGATACATAGTTGTCAAATCATGAATCAAATCGTGAATTGAAATGGCTTTGTACTGAATCGCAAATCAAATCGAATCGTGAATCGTAAAGATTCGTTCACATATTCTAAATTACTCAAAATAATATATCTATATATTTGGATGTTAAATATATCTTACAAATATAAAATATTAAAACAATGAATATGTTATTTTGAATGATGATCACATAGTCTAATAGATAAGAAATTAACATAGGTTCCCATGTAAGATCACTATCTTACCTTTTTCTTTTTTAGATATTGTTTATCAACAATTCTTAATAAAGAATGTGAACAAAGAGAAACTCCCAATTTTCAAATAACAATAACTTAACAATGATGTTGATATTTCATAAGCATACATACTTTTACAAGTAACAATGACCCAACAATAAGTGATCTCCTTGGAGAAATCGTGGAGATCATTAACCAATTGGAGATCGGCTAATGGTGATTACTGCCTTGAGGAGATCTTGGCTGAGCCAAAGTAAGGCGATATGGGGGAGCGATTTGGAAAAGGAAGATCTGGTGGGGCGATCTGGAAAGGGTGATCCAGAGAAGATTGTCGCAAGAAATCTAGACACACATGTACTTACAACTAGGAATGAATGGAAATTATTAGTGATAATATTTGTTACATAGCAACATGGGGGACAGCATGAGAGGGAACTCGTTAAGATGGAAAATTGTCATGATCCTTGTTAGTGTCATCTAGAATGCTAACCATTTTATTGGAGATCGACTAATGGTGATTGCTCCCTTGGGGAGATTTTGGCTGTGCCCAAGTAAGGCTATTTGGGGGAGCGATTTGGAAAGGAAGCTCCAGAGGGGGCGATCTAGAAAGGGTGATCTAGAGAAGGTTGTCACAAGAAATTCAGACACACATGTACCCACAACTAGGAATGAAGGGAAATTATTAGTGATAGTATTTGTTAGAAGTCAGACATAGCAACATGGGGGACAACATGAGAGGGAACTCTTTAAGATGGAAAATTGACATGATCCTTATTAGTGTCATTTAGAATGCTAACCATTGTGTGATGAATTTTGGGAAAACGGTTTACCACAAAAAATGGTATATAAATTGATCATAGAACTTTGAATAAATATGAATTTGAATGTGAAACAAAATTTTTGTGCATTGCATTTGGAAAAGAAATTTTTTTCTTTGATGTTAGAAACCATATATGTTCTTTCTTTAGCACCATTCAAATGTATGAGACATCGTATGAACAAAATAAAAAACTATATTATGCTTTTGCGTTCTGGCTTGGCTCTCTCTGTCGTTTTCTTGAATGTGTGCGCCACTGTGTCCTGTTGTATTCATGTCTATGCCACATCTATTTGCCACTTTTGTTCTCAGTTGATACTTTTTTCAGTATATCTTCTCCTGGCATGCCATACTGTAGAAAATTTAATGTATAAAGAGAAATAGAGAATTGTATTATTGATTGATGTATTGATATATTACAATTACAAGGATTCCTATTATATAGGAGTGTGTTTGGGAGTAGGTGGAGAGTAGGTGAAGTGGAGGTGGTAGTGGTGTAGTGGGTTAGGTTTAGTGGAGTAGGTGAGGTGGTAGTGCAATTCAACATTAACTGATGTGGCTGACCTCTGCTGTGAACCTACATGAAATGTCATTTTATTAGTATGTTAACATATGAGAGTTCATGCAAGAGTATGCACACTCATACGGGGGAGGTGAGAGAGCTTAAGATCTTTCTCTGTCTACATGCCCATACGTTTATGTCTTCTCTTCGCTAGTGATTTCCTTTTGATGTGACAAATGAACATGAACTTTTTATTCATTTCAATGGCCTTTTCCTGTGTATTTATTATTTCATCATGTTGTAGGCTGTATGTTATGGTTTGTTGGAAATTGGCAACTCTCTGCATAGAGAAGGCACTTGCATGAACGAGCACATAGAAAAGTATATAAGGTAATATTGGTTCAATACTTTCCTTTTTTTCTTTTCTGACTGGTTTGAATGTTTGTTATTCTAAAAGGGTTTTAGTTTGGTGGTTTGTCTTTGTATGATAGTTCCCTGTCTTCTGATTGCAGTGTCAATGTGGCTGAGATCATTTGCACTTTGGTCAAAAGAATTTCTCCTAATAGCAATGGTGCACTAATGATGTCCATGGGTGTTAATATCTTGGCAAAGATGTTAAAATGGTAATTCATTTCTAACTATATCGGAGTCATCCACATGCATTAGTTTATTTGACATTTTCTAATCACTGGTGTTATGGTGGTGTAACATATTTTCTAATAACTGGGTTTTTCTTATGTTGATGGGTTGTATCTTACATGTTTTGAAAATTTGAAAACACAACCAACACGATCTAATACA